GGAGTTAGATTTATCTCACTGAATTATACTTTTCGAATCATATCTTCGCTCCCTAATCTTCACCATTACTGATAATACTTCTACCATCGCTATCACTCTTGGATTTGAACTGACAGTTGCGTTTCTGTGCTGATGTGGTATGGAAACCTGAACTGATGTACTTACATATGAAGTTCTGTGTTGTATCTTTCTGTCTGTATGGTTTACCGAGGGAATAGTTAAAGCAGTCAGTATTTCTATTGAATGAGTGAAACTTATGACTTTTAATATTACTCAGAGATATATATTTACTCTGGCCGTTGATTTCACGATTTTAACTGACCCCAAGAGTAATTAATCCAGGCTAGCATTACACGTTAATCATTTCAACATGAACAAAGCTATTTTAATTCTTAAACAATCCTAAATTCGTATACTATAACTTTAAACTATGTACTGCCTTAAACTTGGCCGTTTCTCTAGATGTACGACCATAGAGATTAATAAAATTTATGGGAAAGAATATTCACCTACGTTTTTATCTTCAACATGACTAGTTCGGGTACCGAAGCAAGTCAATCTCGAATCAGTATTTTTCATTTCGCAGGGGGAGTGACACCGAACATGCTTGCGTTGTTGCTTAAGGAGGTCAAAGTTTTCTTAGTTTTGTCAGCGTCTTCACCAAACAGAACTACGTCATCGGCATATACTAAGTTAACAAGTGGAAAATCCTGAAAAATCAGAATATAGTATCAGCCTTTTTATGTATCTAAATATATAATCGCCGTGTAGATTTTGACAAAATTGGTTGGCGATACAGTACGTCGGCAAAGGTTTAGTTTTCTATGATATCCAATTTTACTCAAGCCGTGACTCTGCTGTTTAATGACTAACAAACAGAATAGCAAATTAAGTTGTAGATCGACGAAAATCAGAGATAATGTTTGAATTTTAATAAACTCCGTAAAATAATTAGAAAACAAAGCTGCTATCATTCTGTGCACATTTAATATACCTCGGATTTTCAGTATAAATTTGATCTTAGACTACTATTGGAAACGTGAATGCCTGCTTCTTTTGATAAAGACCTGTTGATGATTCTTCTTGTTGCTTAGTATTCTCCGATATTTTACAATACTCAGCTAGTCCCCAAAATCAGGACGCAGCTTGAAAAAGTGAATATATTCTAACAAAACAAGTTTAATGTGAATGAATCATGATGATGAAAACGTCAGTATGTCTGTAATTTTTAAATAACAGTATTCTAAAACATTTTCCAACTATCCACTAACGCTGATCAGCTATTCATGCGCCAATCAACGTGCTCCCATATAGTCCTGCGAAGGAAATACTTCAGTCCAATCTATATCTTACTAACAGTACCAGTTTTTGATTTAAAATCCACGAAAACTATAATTTTTACATAATCTCATACCGATTTCTCATAATCGTCAAAACCATTCCTATTCACTAAAGTGAATTTAGGAGTAGCTTCTAGTTTGTCAAGCTTAACCGGAAGCTTTCAGTCAGGAGGGTAGTTAGCGAATAAGCTCGGGTTTAATTTAAGGAAGTCTAAATGGGCGATTTCATTTGTTTTTACTAAGATCTATCAACTGTTATGAAATTAAGTAACTCCGGATTTTTTTTTCGATTTTTACTGTGCAGCATTTAACCTCATAGAGGGAAGTCAGGCTACGATACAATGCTTTGTGTATGTACTTGGCAATCTAGTTATACTAGCGCTCGCTATGTACAAGTGTCACACAATGGGTTTACTACCGACTTATGCATCAGACTGGCTTTCATTTATAGAGCCACGTCAAGTAAGTAAATTGCATATATAGTGAGTAATGGAACATTACAGCCCATACTCACTTTATTCATATTTTTGAAGTTATACTTAGTTCATTACTTATCGGCCACGCGTCACCACAACACGTTTTGAATCCAAGAGATAAGGCTGCGATTACAGCCTCAAAATGACTGCACAATCATCCAATGTATAGTATTATTTGTATATCATGGCACGCCTACAGACCGTACAAAAACCTACGAACTTGTTGATCACGATAGACTGCAGCACTTGGGATTACTGTGTCGGAGTTTCAGGAGAATACGAGGTGATCTGAAAATGGCTTGCAACATATTGAGCACGTCATACTAACGTGAGCATCTTACCGAAGTATCACCATCACGCCTCGAGGTGATTGAGCATCAAAGAGCGAACATTCAGGTTCGTGCACACTTCTTCTCATTAAGAGTCGTTGCAACTTGGAATGCTCTCCCAGCCGAGGTGAACACAGTCCCCTCAACAAACAGCTTCAAGAAGAGACTTGATAAACACATACTCACATACGGATTATCATCTCTCTCATCGACCAGCAGTGCTTGATGTATGTCTTGAGACTCGCTAGTTATTATTGCCATCTCCTCCGATCACTGACTGAATTTACCATGCAATTTATCTCTGTTTCCTCTCCCTTGCTTACACTTCGGCCTTGTGACACAATCTTCACTATCGATTCATAAACTAAATTATCTATTTATTTACTTAGTTCTGAAATCTTCTTTTTATTAGCATTAGACTTTTCTCCTTATTATTCTCCACATTGCAACTAACTGACCTCCGGCCTGATAAAGTGATAGCTGTCGGTATCCAGAAACCCTACTTTCCTAAAACAAACGTTCTCATCTGAATCACGGGACATACAAACTCACAAGCAACTGCCAACTGACTAGAATTAGTGCAGTCGAGTGGCTAGACCACCATCCATTGGACACTACCAAACACCTGAAACCTTACCGAAAGAACAAGAGTCGAGCGCAAAGAAATCAATTGGTTTATACTAGCTCGTGAAGAAGACATCGGTAATTGGACATATTTATCTTAAGTATAACCGAAGTTGAGATCTAAACATGCTCGTATGTTAGATATTGGGCATTGCGATTGGCGTCAAGTTCCGAGATAACGTTACAAACCTTACGTAGTTCGTATTCGCCTGTATGTTGCATAATATGATTGATAGGCTTCTTTATAGACTTTATAGAGTGTGCAGTCTATTTATTTGTTTATTACTGTCATACTTGATTGTTTATTTCCTTAATTACCTATAAAAGGAGTACTAGCGAGTGGAACTTTGGAAATACTTGTTCATCTACTTTGGTTATAGTGCAATTAACCACCACTTTCAGTTGCCACAGTTAGTAAACCAGAAGCCTAAATCTTAGCCATCATCTGACTCATTCTTTTTCAATTCTCCTTTTTGAACATATTCTCAGCTGTGATGCAATCAATGTTATCACTGTTATCCTCTGCGTCTCCCTAACCTTTTTTCTAACTAAATGACTGACATCACAATGTCGTATAAAATGGCATACTTTCAAACGAATAAGGTCACTTTTCGAAAGCATCTAGGAAGTTAGTATCCGGCGAGTGTTGTTACGACCATAATCTGCGTACATACCCACATTTCCTTGCTATTTTTAGAACGATAAGTACTTTATGTAATGCGCTTGAGAAAATCTACCACTTAACTGTTTTATTTGGCTTTAAGGTATGCTGCTTTTACTAGGTGTATAAACATACGAATCGTGCGCCTATTATTTTGACTATACGTATTCAATGTTTATTTACTAAGTCTTTTTTCTTCATAGGCAGCTGAATGGTCGGCTGGAGGTCCTGTTATTTGAGTTTCGAACGAAAATGATTGAAAGATGTTCAACCATAATTTGAAAAATACAATGCTTAGTTTATAACAAACTTCTTGTTTCACAAAAATCAAGGTATTTAATGAAATATCTTATAAAGTACAATCAAGTTGGTCATTAGATCATCCATTGAAGCTTTGACCGAAATATTAAGTGGTTAGTTCGGAAATTGACTTGTACACAAAACATATCATTAACCGCAAGTGTTTATACGTAGTGTCCATCAGAGGGAGTTCATAAGTTCAGAAGCCCAATCACGCAAAGCTTGAACGCCATCATTTGAAAATGATTGTAACAGTTGACGAATTGAATCCTTGCAGAGGTTTATGAAACCTAAGAAAAAAATTACACTTACAAAACATCTTAAGCACTGGCAAGTTTTTTTGGAATGATGTATTAATATGTATTAGATGTAAGACAATTACTATACTGCGTCATAGTATGTTTACTCATAACAAGTATTCGTATCCATACAAGAAGTACGTTTGTAGCAATTCGTAAGTGAATAAAGTCATTGCATAGAGATGCACTATAGATTTTGTGTAAAACTGAGCAGGTTGGGAATGCATTGCATTTGTTAATAAAGCATAATATGAACTAGGTTCTTTTTAATATGATATACTTTTAGCCGTTAGGTATCAGATCTGAATCACCCCTTTACTTATTGTGGTTCGGGAGACCGAGATGTGACTTGCACTTAGTTATCTGATGGATGAGTTAATTGCTTGTCACCGGTATTCCAAGAGATTTTTCTAACGTATTGAAACTAATAATTTTTTGCTTCTGGCTTAAACACAATAAAAATCTATTAGTCTAACAATCCACCGTTAGACCAGGAGTCTTGAAACACAGTTTAAATGCTCATGATTCGGAAAAAATGTATGAAAAAGTTTGCTAACTTGGATGTTTGAGAATTCCTGCGACTGTCCTCAAAGCATGCTCTCTGAGTAACTGCGATTTTTGATTGTCAGCTGATTTTTTTAATTTGCCAAGAAACTCTTTTAATCCCAACTCTGAAAAGCATCTCGAAGCCGATTTGCCGGTAGAATCAACAATATGTGCACTTTGTTCTGGACTTAGCCTATGATTAAAATAAAAAGTAGTAGTATAATTACCTTTCAAATATATGGTTTGCAATGGCCCTAGTCTACAATAAAAATGCTTACTTCGCAAGTATTGTTAATGCACTAGCCAAGCAAGCGACTTGAACGTGTTTCCCACTCTGAGTCATGACAGTGTTCAAGAGACTTATTGTTTCAGCGAAACGTTGCACTGAAATGATATTTAAATAAAGGAGAAATGATTGAGTAAAATGTAAGTTGGAATAACAAGAAATAATATATAGAATAGAATGTGGCTAGCAGTGGAATCCACAACGCACGCATCGTCCTATTTGTGACTCGTCAGCTGAATGTATCTACATCTCAGAGTTGATGTTCACTTCGAGACTCAAACTACGTACCGTTTGCTTCAAGTGCCCTCACTTTATCTACTTAACTACCGAGTCCAGATAGTCACTCACCTTTGCAAAACGTGTGCCAACCAAGACTGATCAAATTTCAGTCAAAATATCAACAACGGGATAATTCAATGTTAGTTATAATTAATATTACAAAACACTAGCTGATCCAGAAGAAGTGTGGGTATTATTAATCAGGTTGGATCGCACAATAGATGTTAGTAGATCAAAGAAAATTTGTCTGGGTGCATAGCATGTTATTCAGTCTTAGTTTAGATAAATCACTTTGTACTCGTTTTTAGATGTGAGTTTTAAAGCAAGTTTTCCATTAGCTTTAATAGATAGTTGATAAGATAAAACATTCGATTACCAGTTAATCGATTTAGCTTATTACATACCATTAATGTTTAAAGAGAAATTACCGTTATAGATAACTGTATGAATAACTTACAATGTTCTTTCGTGACGTTGAGTGGCCACATAATCCCAACAGCTCTGACAGCCTGTTCGAGTTCGAACTCGTCAAGTTTGTTGTTTAATTTCAAATTCTTGAAAAGAAGAAAACACATTCTGTTAATTTTAATAAGAATGAAAATTATGTCTGATTACTACGGCGAATAACGACAAAATAGACGTAATCATATGTTTATGTATTGCAATATTTTTCTATACGACACCTCTTACCATACACTACAAAATTACTCTATAAATAAGCTTTACAATGTTTATATTTTGATGAGATAACTCAAGGTACCTAGATTTAAAAAGTGGGAAATACTGATATACGCCAACACACGTCATCAATGTTATTCCAGTTTCTCTTTGATGTCAGTTAGTACGAAAACTATTCAAGCTGTTTAAGTTCGTGGAATTTTAGGACGAAAATGCATGACACTTATTTTTAAAACGTACGTAAATATTACGAAGATAATAGAACTAGATAAATGACACGTTGAGTAAACTTTGTAGGCTTTTCCAGACCCTTGAAGTTTTCGAAACACACTTCGACAGTAATAAACATATGAAGCAAACCTCTGTGTAAAATGGCTATGATACTAAAAGTTTTTCAAAAAAAGTGCAAATAGTATTGAAACCGAATAAGTTTAAAATTTGTAACGAACTTCCGAGTTCCTGTTTTGTGTAGGATTTTTCCCACGTTTTAACCAGTGTGGAATAATAAGAACAAATAACTCGGTGAGACGATCGACTGATTCCCTATGCAATTCTGTTGAAAATATTTCGGCGGGATTTCCATCAACAGCTGAATAGACATGTTTAACAGAGATTGCATCACGACCACATGCTTCGGCGAATGATGCAAGTGTCAAGAAAGCTTCAGCTTGGTAACCAGTTTTTATACCTTCCGCTCGTCTTGGTTGAGTTTCGCGTAGAAGTGCGCACCACATCTAGGATTTAAAACAGTGATATACGTAAGGAAGAAGATCAAAGATAGCAAGAAGGATGGCTAAAAACAATTTGTGTTGATTACCTGTTTCTAAAAATAACGAATGTTTTATGGTGAGGAACCAATAGCTGATTGCAAGCAGAATGGGAAATAATTTATCTTTTGATTATATCGAATATTTGTGCTGTTTTTAAACAATGCAATCAACATACTTCTTCAATGATTTATAAGAATACAGGTTACAATTATTCTGTTTCTGGCGGTTTGTATATTTTCTACATGACTTTCGAAATATCTATAACCATAGTGATATGAAGATATTATTCTTGGTCCTATCAACTTGACTAGTACTTCTACTATGTCTACCACTATGGGATATTAACTTAAAAAACAAAGATTCTGGTACGTCAAAAAACATCTAGCAGACTTGATATTTGCTGGTGACCTGTGATCATTTTGGCGTTATAGTTAAACAAAGTTGAATCGATAAGCGTAATCCCTAAACTGAGTAACAGAAATCTGTTTGCCATTCAGATGAAAAGTGGTACATACAACCAGACTATGAACTGCCTGATTACGAGTAGCTTGCTTCTCTTAGTCGTTACATATACTACTATATACAGGTACTACCAAACACTGTTGATGTTAGAGACGATCTGTCTCCTCTTATAACAACAGTTAATGAAGTATTTTTGCCTTGCTGGGCATCATGGAACGTATTCAAACAATATTTTTATTTAGGAATAAAATAATAATATGGAAACACCATCCAGTCACCTGATTTTAAATCCTTCAATAAAAGTTTTTAATAAGCGAACTAGAAAACCAATTAAACTTACATGATGAATAACGTCTTGATTCACTGGTTCTTCGACAATGTGTTGTTGCTCCAAAGCAAATTCACTTAATGTTCTAGCTGCTCGAAGTAAGTAAATCTACAAAAATCAAATGAAACGAGATTTAGGTGACAACATGCAATCCATCAAAGCTAATAAAAGAAATACCAGTATAGCGTCAAACAATTAAAAGTACAATAAAAAGACAAATGCTTAGACATTATGCTGAACAAATTGTTCGTTAGGGCGATATTACTTAGCAAATCTCGACAACAATCGCAGACAAAAATGCTTAATAAATATATCAGAAAATATAAAATATATAAAACTGTATCTGTGCTGATATTTCTTCACACAAAAGGCCATCAGTAATGATAAGTGAAGCAGTCAACAAGCTCAACCACTTCACTCACTATCACTAGTTCAGGTGCCGATGCAACCCAGTCTTGAAGCAACAATTTGCATTTCGAGGGGGAATACAGCATCCCGAACATGCTTGCATTGTTGCTTAGGGTAGTCAGAAGACTCAGCATTATGTAAGCGTTTTCTCTAGGTAGAACTGTATCATTGGCATATTTTAAGTTAACGAGCGAATCCCCCGATAAATGTTCAACTCCTGAGAAGTCAGATCATGACAGTGTCATCTCTAAAAGCATGTCAATATTAAAGCTGAATAAGACACTGTCATGATCTGACTTCTCAGGAGTTGAACATTTATCGGGGGATTCGCTTGTTGACTTAAAATATGCCAATGACACAGTTCTACCTAGAGAAAACGCTTACATAATGCTGAGTCTTCTGACTACCCTAAGCAACAATACAAGCATGTTCGGGAGATTAACCACCTAAAATCAAGGTGAAAATTTCTGACGTAATGAAAATATTTACCTTTCCAGGCCAAGGTTTACTTTTACAGATAGCTGTAGCAGTTAGTTGAGCTAAAATGAGCCAGGCATGAACTGATGACTCCTCATTTTCTACTAAAATATCATCAACTTCATCTTCGAATTCGTCTGAAAACCCATCGTCGTCATTGTTATTCATGATCTCATTTTCCTCTAAATCGAAGATTTTTTGTTCCATCATTTCTTGAATCTCAACTTTGTTATCATTAATTCCCGATGAACCGCATTTATTTAGATTCCGATATTGTTTTTCTTCAGATCTAAGTGAATCTTGGACTGAACTTGTATTTATGGCAGCTGCCGGAGAGGTTTCATGAACAGGTCTTATGCGTGTGCGACCATAGTTTCTGTGTTTGTTAACACTTGTGTTTGGAGCTGTGGAAAATGGTTGGCCAAGCATTCGAGTAGCTAGTTGAAGTATTGCTAATGAAGCCTGAGTATGTACTGACCAGCTAGGAGACTCAAGTATAGTATCATATAACAGTTGTGTACAATGATCCAAAAGAGGTCGTCGCAAGAAACTATTTGCTAAACCAGTAGCCAGTGGAAGAATAGATTTTAAACCCAATGTTACTGCATTAGGCCAAAATAAAACAGACTGAGGTGAACATGGGGCTGAAGGAATGCGAGAAAGTAACTCTTCCCAGCACTCTTGCCACAACTGTTGGTAAATCTCTAGATCACTGGAATTCGTTTTGGCTGATACGCTTTCCTTAATATAGGAAGACATACTTGTGTTCGTTTCGCGGTAAGTATGGAGAGAATTCATATCATCATTACGATTTTTCGAATGAAATATAGCACTACTTGTTTTGGAAGAAACTAACTTTTCAACCTCACTTTCAACCTGTGAAATAAAAGTAATGGAAAAAAAACAAAGGTTTAAAATAAGGAAGCGTGCAGTGAGAAATTGGTTTACACTGAAGGAAGCAATTATTATCGGTACTGATTATCAGTCATAAGAAAGGTGGATATGTATTTGCTAAAGTACTTATAGAAATTCACTACTGAAAAAAACATTATTCAGTTTTAATAAACAGTTTAAATTGTCTAGTATTTATCAGTCACGGTAATGACTGATATAAAATAAACTACCTGTTTGCTTAAGAAAATCAGTGGTAAAGTAATACAAGCATGAGCGTATAAAAGATCAGGACAATGATGGGCGACAGCATGTAGCACGCGAACACATGCCCAGTGACTTATTGAAATGTTACTGCAACCTTGGACACCACCATCTGAACTGGCTGTAACTTGTTCTGGTTGCAAATACCACGAACGAACACGATTGAATAGTTTTGTAACACTGGTCTCCTGTAAAAGTATAAAATGACGGAGAAAAATTTTATTTTTTATTCTTTTCAAGCATTTATTCGGAAAATTTTAATAAAAATTGAAAATCCTCATCCAATGTAAATGGAATGCACAAAGACTAGTGTACCTGAACAAAGAACGCATTTGATCACTATTATTTTCAGCCTAAGGTGACCGTTTTTCGTTAGGCTAATTTACAGAAGGTACTACTGTTCAGAAGCAAAGTACAAAGTTAAACTTGTGAGGTCCCCTTTAAACATACTGTTCACATATTTTCCAACATCATGAAAATTGTAAGCAACGTTATCGATTTTTATATGTTTAAACTGTCGTTTTATGATTACTGTCTGCATGTAACTACTATGAATTATCATAGACGGTTTGCAGGGTTACTGTGATGGTATATACTTGAGAACCTCAGAGAAGACATTCTCAGTGTTTTCCTAATTGTGTAGTAGTTGAAAGGTAAGACAAAACAGAATAAAATTCATCTATCCTAAAATGACGTGAATCATAGTAGCATGAACTCATTGTTCGTTGATTCAACTTTGTATTCCGACTCCGCTCATGTTTTGAATCTTCAAATCTTTCAGCAACTCATTCTTCTTATGGATTCTTTCCAGTCTATAAGTCCTTAAATGTATGAAATATGATGGCTCTTTTAAAGCTATAGTTGAAAGAAAAATTGACTTCAACAATTGAACCTTGATATAAATTAGATAACTGGTAGGTTTGGGGACGTCGTATGAAGGTCCAAATATACGATGTACACAGGAAATGTGTATTCAAAACTAATGAAATACTACAAATTCAGTCCGTTACAACGTAGAACTTCGAACGTAAGTACATCAGTTCAAGTTGCCATAACATATCAGCACAGAGACGCAAATGTCACTTTAAATCTCATAGCGGTACAGATAGTAGCCGTAATAGAAAAGATTAGGATTCGAAGATATTATTCAAAGGGTATAATTTTGTGAGATAAATTCAGAAAGAGAAGATAGAAGTTATGAGGTAATCAGAAGATTAGGATTTCAGAGTAAACAAACAGCGGATGAACCTGCAACGTTGCAAACGATTTTTAGCCATGTCATTCGAAGTCTCCAACCATCGGTTACGATTGTCTCGCAGGACTCAACAAGGTAGCCAACATCTACCAACATGGCTCAGTCCACTTGTCAGTGACTTCATAGGTTTGTGCTATGTTTTGGTCTGGCCACCCCTAGCATTCTTCCAGCCAAACTCTACACCATAAAACATAGCTCGTTGAGGCCGTCGGTGGTTGGGCATACGCATGTCCCAGCCACCTCAACTGATAAATTTTCAATACTTCATCAATTGATTTGCCATCCCTACCCAGTACCCGTTTCCTAACTATAGCATTGCTAACTCCATTGTACAAGGATATACGAGCAATGCTTCGAAGACATTGATGACCGAAAACGAGTAGCCTACGAATATTCTCTACTCTTACTGGCAACGTTTCGCATCTTCATAGAAGAACAGAGTGAACTGCTACGCAGTACACTTGTCCCTTGGTTAGCAGACGCAAGTTGGCGAAACCCAGTAGAACCTTCTGTATCCGTGCTGAGATTTATTCACACACCAGGCCATCAGTAATGATGAGACTCCCAAGACAAGTGAAGCAGTCACCACGCTCAACCACTGCACTCCCTATCACTAGTTCAAGCCAATTGGTGGTCCCCATTCATGACAGACACTGCCACAGAACCTCACGGTTGACAGAGTCAAATGTCACCTCAAGGTCCATGGAAACAACAGTTGCCGGACGTCTGAATGTGTGTTTGTGTTCCAGGGCCAGTCAAAGCGTGAACAGCTGGCTGGTTTTCTGTAATCTGCTCTACACAAGCTTTGCTTAGGCGTGCAAGTATTTTCACTCATTTTACACACTATATTGGTCAAATTGATTCTTCTGTGATCGTCACAAGGGAGCTTCTGTCGTTTCTTATAGACTGTCACAACCAGTGATTGAGACCAGTCAGATGGGATCACATCCAGTTCCCAAATTTTGCCTAAGATCTCAGTTTGTCTCAATGCTACAATTGGACCACCATCCTTAAAAATCTCAGGGGTAGGCGTATTAGGTCTAAATATCTGGCTAAGATGTATTCAAAACTAATGATATACTAAAAATTCGTTCTTTAATAAATCAAAGTTTTCTTCAGTGAAAGCTCCATAACTTCTCCAGTTTCGAACTAAGACTACATCGATACGAATAACTATATATATATATATATATATATATATATATTCCGCAAATCATGCAAAACATGTGGATGAATGACTTATGAGATGTAAACGTGCTTTGTTTCGGCTGGGGACCCACTGATAACATTTTCACACTTCGTTTAAAGGTAGAACAATTTCAAATGCGTTGAGGGTTAACTATTGTTTCGTGGCATAATTACTACGTTTGATTCGTTAAACAGCACAAAAACACAAGCTGGCAGTAGCTTTACTATTACTATTGTCTTTGTTGATTTGTTAACTAAGATGTTAACCAAAATGTTTACACAAAAAATAATTTACTTTGGCAAACCGTAAAAGACTGGCTAAAGTCCTAGCCATTTCCTCCTGAATAACTTTTCCGGCAGAGTTTGGATGACGACAAGCACCAGGAAGAGCAGACAAGAGGGCTGCCAAAAGCTTTCCCGTATGCGGAGCGAGGGAAGCGAAACCACCACCAGTAGAGCTACAGCAGACAGAGTTTATTTGGCTACCAGAACATGAATTAGAATAACCAGCCCCATCAGGAACATTAGACGGTCCATTCGCAACTGAATTGTGTTTTTGACTCTGATGCATTGTACGACATCGGTTCCCGAGGGTCGGTGAATCAATTGCCCCGGAGCTTAAAGAATGCGCGCTAACCTCATAAGCAGAACCGCAAGGAGGAGTTGGTGGAGACAATCCATACAATGAAGAAGGTGATGAGTGTGATGATCCAGATGGTGAATTATATGTTTTATGACTAGGGGAACCATTCGAGTTATCTTAAGAGAATAAATTGAGAGTAGGTTAAGCACAAAAAACACAAGTTGGTATTACGTTCAAGGAAGTAGAAATTGAAGACATCATGAATACAATGAAAATAATATAAGAATCCTAAAAATTCGTTTTTAAGTTTTCTATGCGATTTTTAAAAATTCCTTACTAGGTTTATACTCGCCTAAATATTGGAATTAAAAATGAAATCTCATTCATTGGACTTACCTAGACCACTGGATACAAGTTGTGATCGAGAAGCTGCGCACCTTGTGCATGTAGTTGTTTTAGAAGAGACAGCCAAAGCATTTGTGTTTGCTGCAGCTAAATGAATTATGAAGACACAAGCAGCAGTTGCGATAGAAGCCGAACCACTAGCTCCAGTTCCACGATTACCTCCACCAGCGCTGCTGGCACCTACGGTTGCAGAACCACCGGCCTTCAAGAGTTCAGTGAAGGGTACAATGAGTCGTGATAGACAAATATCATCAAGCAGCCGAACACACTAAAATCGTTATTAAAATAGAAATATAACTCCAGTAATGGTATATCATTAGAAGAAAAAATTAGTCTTTGAAAGTTACTTTTTTGTGTGGAATAATACATTGTTTAAATTCAGATTTCTATGAGCATATAGTATGCCAAATAAATGCAGATAGTCTAGGTATAGCAATAAAAGACTTACTAATCTCAGAACCTCTGCCATTTGAACTTCCTTGCAAGCTGAAGCCGCATTTAATGAAGGTAATACAGATTGTTGAGTGGGGTTATTTGACTGAGCTGCACCAACATTTAGTGAAATGTTCGGTGATGATGGTAATCCCGAGGTGGAACTCAATGAATTTGGAGCAGCTTGTGAATAAATATGTAAATGGTGAATAGGCTGCCGCATTAAATTAGCAACAATAGATGGATGGATAGAAGACATTGCTTGTAAACCCGATAAAACAAGCTGTGGAAGAGCAGGACGTAATGCAGATGGACGTGCCGTACGTGCAGCTGCTAAAAGAAGTTCAAGTGCTAGTCTTCGTAATTCACTGGGAGGTTGACGGCCACTCTTGTTCGAAGCTGTTTCTGAACTTAGTGACCACGGAGCACGCTCAATAATCACTGGAAGTAAACCAGGCAACAGTCCAGTTGCTGCTTCACGAGAGCAGGGATTTTCCAGAACGCGTATAACAAGCTGAAAAATATTTCAACGATATAATAATAATAATAGTAATAATAATAATAATGCAAAACTATACCTACTACTGATATTAGCTAATTATAATTGATCAATCAATCAACAGCAACGTAGGACTTCGTACGTACGCACGTACATCAATTCAAGTTGCCATATCACAATAGCATAGAGATGTAATCGTCAGTCCAAATCCCATAGTAGTAGAGGTAGTAAAGGTTTTAGCAGTAATCAAAGAGATTAGGGTTTGAAGATATTATTCAAGAAGTGAAATCTGGTGAAATAAACTTAAAAAGAAAAAGTGATGAGGAATTCAGAGGGTTAGAATTAAAAAGCACACAAAGAGTGGATGCATCTGCGCCATTGCAAACGGTTTTGAGCCATGTCACTCAGGGTCTCTAACCATCGATTATTATTATCTCGCAGACCCCAACCAGGTAGTCGACACATACTGACACGAATCAGTCCACTTGTCAGTGACTTCAAGTATTTCTGCCTTGTTTTGGTTTGACCGCCCCTAGCTTTTTTCCAACCTATTCCTACACCGCAAGACATAGCTCTACGGTAATTACGATAAAATACTGCAGAACTCAAGATATAACGTACTAGCGTCATCGCATGAAAAATCATTCATAAACCTTTTCCAATACAATCAACCATCAGGTATGACCGGGTTAGAGATGAAAGATTGGAATTTTTGTTTGATCGAGAGCACCTTTAAGTCACAAATCATACTATTACCTCCAGATAACGTAATTACAAACAAAGTAATTAGAAATAGAATTTCAAAGATTTTATTGATTAATAATCAAACGAATTGGTGATTGGTAGTAGTATGAATAGTATAATAAATACCGTAATAAACATACATGTTTCAAACCTGATAAGAGTGAACATAATAATTTTTATCCAATTTATAAAAGAAATAGTATGACGAGGTTGCATGTACAGATAATGAAAGCAGACGTATGCTAAAAAAAGCACAGCATTCAGGAATATGTTTGTGTAACCTAGGTAAAATCATGTGGGGGAAGGGACTTGGACGGATGATTAAACGACCCACACTAATTTGCTTCACACTTGTAGTTCTTATCACATATTTATGTTACAGCATGTAAGCTCTTTTGGTTTGCTTGGAACAGATTTATGAAAAATAAGCAGTCGTTTAAATAAAAATTGGTTTAACATAGTGGAAACAACAAAAAACATCAATTTTTATAAAAGAGATTTAAAATTACTTTCTGTACAGTGATAGCAGCTTCTTCAGCAGGAGTCGTGATGCCTGAATTATCACTTTCAAACGTATCACTTGCTTCAGATTCATCACATAAATTAAGGAGTCCAGATAAAAGAGCGGGTAAATGCCCAGCAAGACGCTTATCAGCTGAAGGATGTGTAGCTAAACTACTTATAGCCAAACAACAGGCATCTCTTAACCAAATGTTTTGTGTACCTGTACTATTACTTGGGGAAATAGTGTTTGTGGTCACTTTATTTGTTGACATTATCCCCGAACCATCAGAAACGTTCGTCGTTGGTTGGGAGGAAGTACCATTCATTTGCGTTGCATGAAAACTTAATGTATTAAATCCTAGTTGGGTTTTGATCTCACACACAATCGCATTGAAATGTGCTTCAACCTGTAAAGAAAAATTAGTGCGTTAATGGCTGACAATTATTTATTTTATAATAAAAGCAGCTGATTGCGATTCATCAAGCTGCAAGTTTGAATATCCCTTTATTCACCTCGATTCCAGCAACTAACAATTACGACTAACTTTCACACTAAAAGTGCAGCTCGAACTAATGTACACTAACTTTTACTTCGCTATTCAAATACAATCAATAGATCTGGATAATTAAAAAAAACTGAGCTGATTTAATTGCTCCAATCAGATAAGACAACTAACACAAAGTCAAAGAAATAATTGCCAGTCTCTAGATCAGCGAAAGAATAAGGCTGACCAGAAACCAGCTCAATTCATTTAAAGTAAAGAAGTACTAAGAGAATTCGTAGCTAAATATACATTATTATTATTGGAAGTGTATTTCGATATTTTAAATTCAAAAGATTATCCAGCTACATACATGATGGTTACTTAAGTGAAACAAAAATTACGAACTCGGTTTTCGAGTAAATTTGGTAGGTATTTACTATGCGATAAATTCGCACCACCATAAGTTATACACATCTCAAAAAGCTGAGGTATTTAAATTGCTTTGTAAGCAATTACAAAAACCTGATTCGTTATTATTTCATTTGATAGTAACAGATTCATTCCCAGAGAAGTAACTACAGTACAGCACTCAACATCGATAATTCCCAACCAATAAATGACAAGTTTGAATTTGGCGTTAATTACTGAGGTCGAGGTAGATCAGTATGATTTGTTCATGAAGGAGCTAGAACAATGTGCATTCAGAGTTGAAAAATGCTCACGACTAAATAGAAGTGAAACCCACCATTTCCGAAACTAACGAATGTAATGAATTTGGTGCAGGGGACGACAACTGATTATTTTGATTGGTTGAACTTGTTATTGATGTCGAACTTGACATATTATGATACGAAGTGTTCGTTGATAGGAATGGTGTTGCCGAATTAGTTGCATATAAAACAAGACCAAGCCAAAGATTCTCCATCGCCTGACGAAGTTTAGGTCGAGCAAAATCAAAACGACGAACAAATACCCGGGGTACAAGTCGCGGGAGAGCTGGAGCTAAAGATCTACCAAGTCGTCGAACTAGACTTGAATAAGTGACACTTGAAGCCAAGTTGAATGCTATATTAGAAAAACAACTTCCGGATTGAGAAGTACCAGAAGAATTGGCGTTACGTGATGTTGACGGAAGAGCGATAGCTAACACTATCAATGATAAAGCCAGGTCTGGGCGTCCGATTTGCTGAGCTAAAGAGCACAGTTCATGATAAACTGGAGAACTAGATCTGTAATAAAAACAACAATATCAACGAAACGAAGATTATTTCAGTTTAGGGTTAAGATTACTCTATGTAAATAAGAAAGGCGTTCACAGTTAGACTAACTCAAAGCAACATATGAACTAATGTGAATTCAGTTGATACTTTCTCACTAACTACAGTAGTCAAACTACTAACAAATATAAAATGCTATATAAGCGGGCAATTCACTAAAAAAATAATAAGAACGAGAAACGTTTAAACTGATGTCAAATAAAAGAGTAGGGAAATAGTAAACTTTTTGCCGTGGACTGTAATCAATGATTGGACCAAATTCATAAATACTTTGTATGAATGAGGATTAACCAGTAAATCCTCAATCATATGATATTATAGTATGAAAAAACATTTAATTTTAATTACTTGACAACCTAAGTACTAGTTCATTTTACATAAAAATAATTGTCTAGGGATCCATTATGATACGATTTAAGGAAGTGGAAAGGGTTAGAATTAGCCACTAATATCTAGCATTATTAAACAGCTGTTCAGGGTTAACAAAAACATTGAGTAAACACTTTGGAAACTGAAAGAAATTATAAGTTTCTGAATAATAGAATAGTTTCTGCTTATATTACAGAAAATTCTAGTGTTTAAATAATCATTTCAAGTTTAGACAGTATTGATGTTCTTTCAAAAAAATCTTACTTTTTATTATCTCCGATTGCTTGTGTTAAACTTGTAATAAGCTCTGAACGTTCATCTTCGGAACTTCTATCGTAAATTAAACCCAACGTTGCAACAACAACACACTGGACTGACTCTAAAAGTAGAAAATTTCAGTAGGTCATTGAAAATCTACGACTAAGTGAGAATCAAACAAAAAAATAAGTGTTTCCTTATGCTGTTACCTAACTACATATCTATTTTTATGACTAAAAAATAAATTATTTTACTTCGTACTATGTAATCAAATTAAAGTTTACAAAGGACATGATGAAGATGATAATAATCAACACGGAAAAAATAGAGACAGTAGACAATAACTGACAAGCATATTCTCAATAAATGGAAACCTAGTGATTCTCAACAAGGTATTATTGTATACTTTCGTGAAATTCAAACAATCGTTTTTATGCAACAGTTTTTATTACAAAAAATTAGACAAATTTGATTTAGTCACTGTCCGAATTTCATGAAAATATTCATGCTAATAGTTTCCTAAATTTTCAGTATTTATTGTCAAGTATGGGAAACTTATAATAAATTTAGATCATAAAGTAGAAAAAATCCGAAATACTAGACGCCCAGTTGTAGCAGCGCGTAAGTACTAAGACTTCTCATGATAACGGTTATAAATAACACACCAAAGAACAATATGAAGTAGGTTATCTTCCTAGATTAGTACCAAGTAATTAATGAACAGTTGGAAATCGAGGCGTAATGGACAGCTGCTTTATAATAATTTGTGATTTAGGAGTTTTTGATTATGCAAAAACCCTAAAGCAAAAATTTATAAAAAGCTTGTAAGCATCCTAATCTGATACATAGATTAAAAAAAATTAATAAGAATGCATTCGTTTTTGTTACCGTCTTTTTCGTCCAAAAGATTAATAAGTAACTGGTAAGAAAGTAGCGATTTCGGAAGTGGACCCAAACGCCGTACTAAATTAAGAATCCATAAAGTTGCAGCAATTGTCACTGGTCGTGTTTGAACTTGTCCTGGGCGAGGGGTGAGTAGTGATCGAAGCTGTTCTGCCAACCATCTAGCATTCGGTCCCGTAAGAACACTATTTAAACCATGTGCTGGAATGACAAGAGGATAAACCCTTTCATACCAGTGAAATCGATAGGGTGATATAGGTCCAAGAATGCAGTCTGCTAAAGCAGTCCCAACAGCTAAATGAAGACTTGGGTCGTCAATCTAAACAGGCCAATAAGTAAAAAAGATAAGAGCAAGGGATGTCGGTACAAACATTTTATCTGGAGTAAATATCGAAATTAAAATATGAATTACTTAGAAATAACCGAAAATCAATATCAAATTCCTTATCTTTACAAACCTTAATTGAATATAATAAAAATATTTCTTTTTAAAAATGTGTAGATATTTTTAAATTATCGAGCAACTCGGTCTCAATTTGAGATTATTAAACGGAGTCACTGGACATAATCGAGTTTAATCTTCTGAATATTCATCAGAAGTTGGAGTGAAGTAAAACATCGAGCAGCTATGAAATATTAAGAGTTATGATCATTCAATTTATCGTCAGTACAATGAAAATAACAGTTTTAAATCAATTATTAAGATTAGGAGCATGATTTTTTAGAGGAACAATTAAAATGATAACATGAAATATGTTGTTACATTAAAGTAGAAAATGAATGAACTGCAATAAACATATAGGTTATATAGCCACAGTTAAGGAAGTAAGAAGATCAGCTTTTAGTAAGAAAAAAGCATATCTTACATGATATTTTCTTTTCTTTAATACGACTCTTATGCTTCGATATAAGGTTATACCATGAATTTCAAACAATCTTTATACACAATGTGATCCCATCTTATGCACAAACTGGAGAATTTCTCAGTACACTACTTGCACAATGTTCCATGTATTAGCATCAAATTTGTTATTACCGAAAAAGAAGTTGTGATAATAAGATAAACTATTTACCTGACATTAAATAGTAAATACAGATAAAAGAGTACTGGTTAACGATTGTCATCTAAACGATCAAATTGATAAAAAAAAACTACCGAGTGAACATGAACATGCAACGCTTATGCATTTTTTTGTAAAACTGTAAAGATCAGAAGATATCTTTCATAAATTAATTTATGGTGGCTATTAATTCTCTCGAAAACAAACTGAACTTTAGAATAAACAGCAATTGTAGTGTAAATTCACTCGTTTAAAAGTTCAAAAAACCAACTTCGAAACTGAGAAGTTTGTTAACAAAAAACTATTCACAGTTAAGTTACATTTTTCAGAGGACTTCGAATGAAATATTTAGTGTGCTTGTCCGCTAATAAACTGAATAAAGGAGTTATTCACAGAGTGGCTTACGTACTTACTTTTACCCTATTACTAATTCGTCCATAATATTCATTCACCGAGAACTGTTGAATCTTTTATTTTCCTCTCGTTTTTAATTGATCGTAGTTATTTCGTGCTCCCCTATTGGTAGTAACTATTTGTTTCAGAAAGAGAGCAGTTGTACAAATTCTAACTACAAAATAGCATAGAATTGGCTCGAGAACAGAGCAAGAAGTGCTTTGATCAGATATTTAGAGGAATAATAATAGATGCTATACAGCTACCAACTTTTTACTTCATCTGCCAATAACTACTCTGTATGCGATATGAGTGAAATTATGAGGCAGTTGAACAAAGTTTGTAAATTAGTCAGTCGTAACATACATATGTACATCGTTTCAGGTCGCCATACCCCATCAGCACAATCAGACAAAAATGTCAGAACAAAATCAAGGAGTAGTAAAGTCAGTAACAATATTAATAGTAGTAAAAAAGATTGGGGATCAAAGATACGATTTGTGAGTACATATGTTGGAGTAATAAAATGATTACGACGAATTAAGAAACCCAGATTATGGGGGAAGACAAATAGTGGATGTTCTCGTGACATTGCAAACGATTCTGAGCCGTCATTCCAAGTCATTAATCACTGGTTAATATAAACACGTAAACTTACTAATCAATATGTCATTTTTAATTAGTACCCTATTCTTAAATCAAGCACTATTTGGGTGTGAAAATGGGTATAACCAATAGATGATGTTTGCCAAAACTCTCAAAAAGTACGAGTCCAGGATAAGGATTTTGCACTGTCTGCAGACCTGAGACGGACATATTATAAAGGTTGAGGCTTTCGGTTGTCAAAATGCAAAGTTTGAACCGCTTTCCAGCTAACCCGTTTTAGGCAGTTGGGTAGTATCGTCAGTCCTCACATTTACAGTGTGGCTTAAACACAATTATCTAATGAATAAAATAATTGATATGCTTGAAACTACTACGAGTTCACCTTATTCGGTAAACGGAGAGCAGATACATGATGCAGTGACACAATAGGCTAGCTAGCTGAAGGCCAACATTAAAAAAAAAAACAAAATCTCAGAAATAACTTACTAAATAAGAATCTTTTTCAAGTGAGTTCTGGGGATCTGATATCCCCAACAATAATTCAAAAACTTAGTTTACTATTTATTTTCCTGTCAAATTTCTAGCGAATCGATCTGAATACATTTTCTTTAGACCTTTTGGTTAGATTTTGAGATAATAACAACATAACTATTTTCTGAAAAGGTTATTAACAAGTGTGGAAACTTGTCTGGGACTTTTGGGACAAAAACAAAACTTAAGATCCCATCTTTTAATTCGTTCATATAAAAGAAGGACCACTGTAAAACGTACAAACGAAATATTACATAAGTGCAAGAACTATTTATTTAGGTACTTAACTAGGTATTTAAAAATGAGTGTATACCATTCTTTTAAACGTGATTATGAGCAAAATGATTTCATATTTAAATGTAGCAACAGAGACAATGGACACTAAACAGATTGTTAACAACTCAAGTTTCTACATACCTCAGCTGTACCAACCATAATCTTCATAATAGGAATTATGTGAGGGTGACATTTAGGTTTTAGGTTTTCTGTTCCTTGACATTCTGAAGAATTAGACGTCTCGTCTTTTGTAGTTTGGTAGCCTTCACCCATGCAGACAGCTGCTAATGTCCGGAGAGCAGCTTGTGAAACTCTTGGATACCTGAGTGACGATGAGGAGCGTTCTTCATTTACAGATGGCAGATATGATACAATTCGGTGAACAAATGAAGCCTTAGAACTCAATAATGAGGCTGTCGAATTATTACCTTCAATGGGTAATGCACCAGACGGAAGATGCGATAAACAACCGGCCCTTCCAATAACCATGAGTGCTTCGAGCAATGCAACCACTGTAGCTTGTGATACACTAGAATTAACATAACAGAACCCATCATTGGCCAGAGTAGTTTTTGTGTTGTTGATTTTTAGGCTATCAACAAGTTGGCTAGGCTTTACCAAAAACCCATCTATGAAGAAATAAAAATTAGTAAAGAGAACATGTTGAAGTGAATACACATACAAAAGCAGCAGAGAGCTACGTAACAAACACATTTCGAAGGATAAACCTACTTACCTCTGAACCAATATTTTAGATGATTGTCAAAACTTTTAGTCACTATTCATTTGGAAGAATCGATACAATAATGCCTGGTTAGGGGGATATTATTATCTTAGTTGAAACAACCCCGTTCAGGAAAAAGTAAAGCAAAAAATTAAACATAATCTAGCATAAAATCTAAATCTATCGGTTTAATTATTAGGATTTACTGAAATTAAAAATCGGTAATTTGTAAAATCACTAACCCATTAAACTGAGCAGTTCCTCTATGGTTTTAATAATATCAGTTTGGAGGTTTCTGTAATTTTGATTTTTTTCTTTCTTTCCTTTTTTTGTTTGTTCAGTTGAAGACGGTTTATTGGTTTTGGAAGAGGCAACAACGGAATTAAACGGCACAACATAAGCTGTAAATAACCGTTCCAGAAGATAAGCTGCGCCCATGAACATGCCCTGAACTGCATGAGACGATTCACCGTCGATAACAGTGCCTGGGTTAGGAAGTGCAGCAAGCATACCTTTTGCTGTTTGCAGAGCCTGTGAAGGTGCTTCAGTTTCCATAACAACTACGCTGTAAACAGAAGCACAAGCGTGACGACAACTTGCTCCTCTGGGGGTCGCCAACAACACGTTCTGGAAAAGAACGGAGTAATCTGAGTCAAAACGAATGAAAAGCAAAATTTGTCATAGAATTCTCGAATTACCTAGTTTTATACTTCATACTGGACATCCAGGTTTTCCGCTGATTAGATTGATCATACATAGTTACGCATATTGGCATAAATGGACGCAAAAAACGAAGAAATGGTTCAAAATTGTGAGACGCGATAATAAACCCACCAAAAGTTGAGGCAGTGAATCGGTGATTAGAGAACAACTTTGGATTATACTATACTTTCTTTCTGCCGGTTTTATGACAGAAGAACACAATCTAGTGTTAATGGGTGCATACTTGAAATGGCTCGAAATGTAACAAGTAACTCCACCGTGAGCACTTCTGGATAAAGGTGGTGGGTTTGAAAATGGGTTAGCGATTACATCCCGTAGAAAAACAACATGATAAAAAAACACTAAACATTATTTCAAAAACCGTAAAAAAATAATAGAAACAGTAACGAATATATCTACAAGTTGTAGAATTCTGGAGATAGACGTTTCGAACAATAGTTCGAAATCAAAATCATTCTCTGATTATTGGCTAACGCGTCACTGTCAGTCAGTCAGATGCAACGTAGAACTTCGTACGTAAGTACAGTTCATGTTGCCATACCACATCAGCACAGAGATGCAATTGTCAATTCAAATCCAATAGTAGAAGAGCTAGTAAAAGTATTAGAAGTAATCGGAGAGGTTAGGATGAGAAGATATTATTCAAGAAGTACGATTCAACGATAAAAGTTTAGAAAGTCAAAACTAGAGGTGTTGAATAATCCAGAAGATTAGGGTTTGAGAGAACACGAAGAATAAATGCACCGGCGCCATTGCGAACGATTTTGAGCCATGTCATTCAAGGTCTCTAACCATCGATTATTACCATCTCGCGGATCTCAAACAGGTAGTCGACAATTACCGACATGGCTAAGTCCACTCGTTAATGATTTCATGGATTTCTGCCATGTTTTTGTTTGGCCGCCCCTAACTTTCTTCCAACCTACTCCTACACTACAAAACAAAGCTTTTCGAGGCAGTTGGTGGTTAGGCATGCGCAACCAACCCAACCACCTCAACTGATGAAGTTTCACCAATTCATCTATTGATCTGCCATTCTTACGTAGCACCTGCTTCCTAATAACAGCGTTGCTCACTCGGGTGTCCCACGATATACGAGCAATGATTCGAAGACACCTATGATCGAAAACCAGTAACCTACGAGTATCTTCTACTCTTAACTGCCATTTTTCACAGCCATAAAGTAAGACGGAGCGAACTGCTGCGCAGTACACTCGTCCTTTAGTCAGCAAACGGATATCTCGCCTACGCCTAAGTGACGCAGGTTGGCAAAAGCCAATCGAGCCTTCTGTATCCGAGCTGAGATTTCGTCAGTCATCAGGCCATCAGCACTGATGAGACTCCCAAGATAAGTGAAGCGGTCTACACGTTCGACTACTTCACTCCCTATCACTAGTTCAGGTCCCGATGAAACCCAGTCTTGAAGCAACATCACTGTCAATCATATTCGCTCATCCATATACCATCCACAATCTCATCAACAGACTGAACGACTGGTGGACAGATTTTAACGAGCAACGTTCAAAGAGAAGATGGCAGGATGCTCTAACAGATGCACTCATCACAACAGAAATAAATTGCAGAGTCACTTATGAAACAAAAACTTCTAATAGTAAACTGCAGTGACAATAACGATGACTAAAACATAGCTCGTATGAGAACAATGAATCAGTGTATGCGGATGAAACGGAAATGTGAGATGGGCAAAAGGTGCGAGTGGGTAGAAAACTTTTAGGATGGTATTGTGAAAAGAGAAATATGCGCATTATCAAACCCTACTACACGGGGAACCCGTTGATGATCAACCAGCAGAATTCATTATAACTCTAGACACTGTCTCTGATCGTTTAAAATTCTCAAAGAAGTCAAAAACGAAAGTACAAAACAGTGGAGAAGAGAAAGAATGCAAAAATTAAGAACTGCGGCGAATAAGCAGCAGTTCTAACACGTACGAAACCTGTTATCATATCCGGTTAGTCAATAAGTCAGTAAATCAAGTAAATCAAGTTACCATACCCCATTAGCAAAGAGACACGATTGACAATTCAAATGACATAGCAGTAGAGTAAGTGAAAGTATTAGCAATAAGTAAATATATTATTGATCGTATATATATTATTCGAGATGTATACTACACAGAAAAATCGGTTAGAAAATAGAAAAAACGGTCGTGAGTAATTCAGAAAATTAGAGTTTGAGAGAAATTAGGGAATGGATGCACCTGAGCCATTGCAAATGGTTTTGAGCCATGTCACTCAAGGTCTCTCACCATCGATTACTATCTGGCTAGCTGTTCTTTAAACGGCAGTCTGATTAAAATTTGCACTTCTTCAAAAATCAAGATGTTTCTTATGAGATCTTGATCCCTCTATCTAAATTATGTGAGGGACTACAATCAAGGTGCTCTATATTAGTCATTCAGTCAATCTAGTTTGCTGAATTTCGTTCGTATTGAGATCTTTCAAACGATCGTTGTTTGGACTTACCGAATACTTAAAAATCAAAACATTATTAGTTGACAAAATTTTGACTAAACATTTTGAGTATTTTCAGTATGATCGATGAGTTGGAAAAAACTTAGATCTATGCCTCTGAAAGTAAGCAAACTAAGGTTTAGCGTCAGTCCTTTTTCAAAACTGAGGATGTGAGCTAGTACTATATACCTGAAGTAGGACAAATTGTAGTATGCTAGTAAAAAATGAATAATTTCGTTTATTTGTGAGCTAAATAAACACAATAAAAGAAACTCACATTCATACGATCAAAAAGTTGTTTGTTACATGTAATCAATTCTTTGGTATTGCCAACCAAAACTTCTTCTAGATAATTTGGAAAATCTGGAGCTATAAGTAGAATAATTTTTAAAATATGAGTTTCACTACGTGTTTGGAGTCATGTATATATATATATATATATATATATATATATATATATATATACGGTTTAAGAATTAGATAATTTTCAGAGAGATTTGGCGGCGACTGACAATAAGAAAACACGAGAGTCCAAGGCTTGATTGGAATTAGTAGCAACTAATTATTGAAGTGCAGATTTGAATTTAGGAAAGTTTTTTCAATATGTTTAGCACTGAGTATGATGGAAAAAGACATTCCTATTATGCAAAATTCAAAATACATCTATATAATAGGCTATAAATGTTTACTGAAGTATAGTTAATGTAGTGATAGATGAAGAGTCTACACAATTAATCTTTGTGACATAATATGTATATTTAGCTTTTGCCAACGTACACAGCTAGTTAAAACAAGTAGGTTGGAAAAATACTGATGAACTTATTGACCAACTTGATCTATATGCAATGCGTTAGAACTTAAAGGTCAACAAGGTAATCGAAATATGACAGAGACTTTGTATACTACGGTACGGAGTGGCTATTGGTGCAATAAATACCGTACATTATATCATTTACAAATTTTAAGTTTGGTCTCGCCACAACTCTTGATTGCATACTTTTCTGTTTTGGTCTACAGTGTTAAGTTTGAACGTAAAACCGAACCGACTTCATTAGGAGAAAAGACACTTATGGATGATTTCGAAACTGGCAGCAGCTTATCATAAAAATGAACTTAGGTTTAATTCACAAAGATAATCTTGTAGTGTAACGATCTTTAGTGTAATAAAAGTATTACCCAATTATAAATCTTTTTTTCCTAGAAGGGTACATATGATTTTTGATATTTCGCTTGCAAATAAATAAAAAAGTTCATAGTTTTCAAGAAATTAAGGTGAAACGAAAATGAATGAAAGGAAATTAACAAAATACTAACAATCTTTAGTGTGTTGAGATCGCGTGAAAATAACCACTTGAATAAGACGAAAATAAGTGTCGATACTGCGTTTTGCTTGTTCAGGATTAATAACTGGAACATTTGAACTTGTGGAAACAGGGTTAGTTGTTGAAGTAGTAGATACAGTTGATGTGTTATTGACTGAAAGAGGAGTTTGAGAGACGCTCGTTGTCGAATTTCCAGCTGACAGAAAGTATCTTACAGTTTGGTTAATCAAATATCGCACCTCCTCTTCCGTTTCATATGTAAGCCCAGCCTCCTGTGCAGGTGTGAGTCCGCCGTGAGTCGCCAACAGGCACAAACGAATAAACTGAACAACCTAGAGATAGTATATGGAGATAAGTGATATATATATATATATATATATATATATATATATATATATACTCGCACGAAGCTACCAAAGCTGCACACAACGCAATCAGCAACAAATGACATTATACAAGAACACTTACAATCATGTGCCAGTTTGGAGTTGATTCTCTACATATTTAGCTATGAAACTCTTGATTTATTTGTCCTGTTCAGCAAACTAAATACTACAAAATTTCGGGTGATAAGATCATTACATTCTGTTACGCTTCCCAGTAACTAGAATCGCGTTTCGACATTACTCTTAGTTCACTAAAAACAAGGCAGAAGTCTAAATTTTGATGTCTTTCACGAGTATGTCAAGCAAAAGCAAAAGACGTACTGTGGAAAATGTAGAACGTTCTCAAGGTTATGGGATTGCTGAACACAGCTTTGTATAGTGAAATTTTAGTGACACCAGTAATCTCTCATTCGTTTCATCAGAATTGTATTTATCACACTAACAATTCATTAAACCCAAGACAATTATCTCACACAAAATCCTCACGTTTTTGATTTCCTTTCTAGCTGTGCTGAGTTGTAGCGAATTCGATTGGTAAATAATGTGCCAGGTGTTAGGTTGACTATGCATACTTACATTCTAAACACACTAATTTCTAAGTTGATGAACGATTGATACAAAAACAGCTTGAGAATTATTCCATTCTAGGTAATTGATGATCACTGTTGTTTGTGTTTATACTCCGATAATCAATCATTTTTTAAACAATGAAGAACTGTGCGTAGATGAATGATTTCACAAAATTTAAAAACCATGTAGTGAAAATATGAGAAACACTCAAATTACCGGTATGAGACGCTCTACTTCAACAAACGGGTTTTTACGTGAATGTTGGGTATCCTAGAAATAAAAAAAAATGAAAATGAATTAAAAACTACTGAGTCACATCATACCTCATAGCAGTACAGATAGTAGGAGTATTTGCGGTAATAAAGAAGATTAGGATTCGAAGATATTATTCAAACGGTATAATTCTATGACATAAATTCAGAAAGAGAAGATAGAAGTGGTGAGGTAATCAGAAGATTAGGATTTCAGAGAACATAAAGAGTGGATGCCACAACACAATAGCAAACGATTTGTAGCTGTAATCCAATATCCTAAGAGAATTATAAGTGAATTCCTATTGCTTAATTTCTATTGGTCAATTTTATGATCAAAATGACGTGTTTACGTGTAGGCGTAACAATTTCATAGTGTAATTTACGGTACACTTTTTGGGCTAACTTACACACTAAATAAAGTAGTAACGTATTTTGCTTACCGTGTGCTCGAAATATGTGAATTATGGGTAACTTATGTTTTGTGTCTGATTGGAAATCTTCGTAGCAAAGTGGAGAAAAATGAGGCGCAACTGAAAACCAAGGAACAAAATTGTTTCTTTCCAAAATGAAGAAGCATTTTTGACTTAATAATCTCCCTCTCTCTTGATAAACCATAAATTCTTTCAAGATGATGTTATACTTGAATTAAACGCATTACTGTTTTTGAACTGTAACTGTTGCCATGTTTGCTATTAGGATTTTGTGAGCATGGCATAAGGAACCAACTAGGATATTTGACATTTTCGACGTATTTCAAACAAACATTGAAGTAGAAACAATTATTGTTGGTAGGTTTAAGATCTTGCTTACTGTTACATCTATTTATCCTAAATAATAACTGGTCTCTAGAAGGATCAATTACCATGTGACAACCCAACTTTTGACAATCTTTTTCACACCGAAAAGCATTTTTGGACCAATTCTTGTTTTCTTCGAAGTCAGAAATCAAATGAACTGTTTTCTACACTGAACAAATATCCTTATGAGATGGTGGAGAAAATTTGTTGCTCAAGTGCATGATTGTGGTGATGTTTCGTTCTCTGAGCTGGATTTTTTGGTAGTGAAGCTTTCATTGTTCTTCTGAACAACATCATCAGCTGTTGACCCTAAACCTGTCGTTGTTTGCACCTTTGTGTTGATTGTATTCCCCTTTTGATCTGTTTCTTGCTCTTATGTCACATATGATTTTTCTGATTCGTTGATAAATTGGGTCAATGTGCTTGTTGATTGCTCATTGGCCTGGGTGCCAAGCAATCCAGTATTTCCACATTGTTCCAATCGAATGTGTGTCCATAATTGTCCATGTGTATTGTTATAAGCGAAGAATTATCGTGGCGTTTGACTACTAGTTGGTGTTCACGTAAACGAAACAAACAAAATAAAGTGCTCAGACTGCGAAAAACACTACATAGGACAAGGTGGACGGCCTCTTCAGCTTCGTTCTCTGTTTAGACATGGTCAGTTCAAATAAAAGACTGTACTTCAATGATCAGTGAAATCGCGTATTATGCGGAAGAAAGTAATGCATCAACTAATAATCTTTACAAATAACGACGTTCATATGCGCAGATTAATTCAAATATTTATGTAATTTCACATACAACTCACATGATTCACAAATTCAACGAAAGATGGTAGTTTGACGCGTCCATAGACGATGTCGTGAATAATATTCGGATCAAGAAACTGTTCGAAGGCAACACATGCTTCAGCTCTTACACGAGGATCCCTAGAAAAACAAAATTAAACAAAGCGCACATTTGGAAACACTGAAGATTTCTGTTTACCTTTATATCCGTCAGAAACTAATTACATAATGAAGAGATTAAGTTTCTTCTATAGGAGAATTGTTGTAATGCAATCGGAATACAATTTAAGGCAAAAATACAAATGAAAAACTGTCAAGTTGCTAAGACCGACGCTGATCTGATTTCCTTTTCAGGTTCCTCAAGAGACACACACGGTGTGGGCAGCCGAGAAGTGGCGTCCGCCTTCATACCCATAACAACACACGAGATCAAATTGGTCACAATCAAATCCTTCCTACTTACTTACTTACTTACGCCTGTCACTCCTAGTGGAGCATAGGCCGCCGACCAAACTACTATGTCCTACGCCTTTTCAGTTCTACCCAATTGCTGCTCATTCTTTTGATGTCTGTTTTCCGACTCTCTGTGTAGTGTGTTCCTTGTTCTTCCTCTTTTCCGTTGACTCTGAGGATTCCAAGTGAGGGCTTGTCTTGTGACGTAGTTTGGGTGCTTTCTGCAATGTGTGTTCTATCCACTTCCAGCACTCCTTCCTGATTTCTTCCTCCTCTGAAATCTGGTTTGTTTCCTCTCACAGTAAGTTCTTGCTGGTAGTGTCTGGCCAACGGATCTGAAGTATTTCGCGTAGACAGGTGTTAATCAACACTTGTATCTCTTGAATGATAGCATTAATGGTTCTCCAAGTTTCCACCCCATACAGTAGAACTGTCTTAACATTTGCGTTGAAAATGGTGCCTTTGGTGTTGGTGGACAGTTGTCTAAAGTTCCAGATGTTTTCCAATTGTAGAAATGCTTCCCTTGCTGTGCCGATCACTGCCTTAATATCTGCATCAGATCCACTGTGTTTATCAATGATGTTCCCCAGAAATGTAAAGGTTTCCACGTCTTCCAAAGTTTCCCCGTCAAGTATGCTTTGGTTGGTGCATGTAGTGTTGTATCGGAGAATCGTGCTTTTTTGTATGTTGAGTCCTGCACGGGCGTGAGACATTGCCAATCAGAGTAGAGAATATTCGTAGGCTACTCGTTTTCGGTCATCAATGTCTTAGAAGCATTGCTTGTATATCCTGGGACAAAGGAGTTAGCAATGCTATAGTTAGGAAACGGCTACTGGGTAGCGATGGCAGACCAATTGATGAAGTGTTGAAATTCATCAATTGAGGTGGCTGGGACATGTGTTACGTATGCCCAACCACCGACTGCCTTGACGAACTATGTTTTATGGTGTAGAGTTTGGCTGGAAGAATGCTAGGGGTGGCCAAATCAAAACATAGCACAAACCTATGAAGTCACTGACAAGTGGACTGAGCCATGTCGGTAGATATTGGCTACCTGGTTGGGTTCCACAAGACAATCGTAACCGATGGTTGGAGACTTCGAATGACATGGCTAAAAATCGTTTGCAATGGTGCAGTTGAATCCGCTCTTTGTGTTCTCTGAAATCCTAATCTTCTGATTACCTCACCACTTCTATCTTCTCTTTCTGAATTTATGTCATAGAATTATGCCTTTTGAATAATATCTTCGAATCCTAATCTTCTCTATTACCGCAAATACTCCTACTACCTGTACTGCTATGAGATTTGAAGTGACAGTTGTGTCTCTGTGCTGATGTGGTATGGCGACCTAGACTTATGTACTCATGTACGAAGTTTTACGTTGTAGCTGACTGACTGAATGATGAAGGCAATCGTACATCTCAGTTATCAGATCATGAACACTACCAAAATTTTATGATTTATTTACGTTACAAACTAGTAACGCACCAGTTAAATCAGAATCCATAACACCATGACTAAACTCATTAAAATGTGAACTGGCTAAATTGGGAATCGTTTCCTTTTAAAGAACAAATGCACCTAAGATAATGTGATGGAACAAAAATGTTCACAATAAAACAAGACAACAATGCTGAATAACTTCACTGAACTGAACACGTACAAATATGAAAAGAGGAACAAAATGTGCGAAACTAGTGTGGTATGTTTTGACGGCAGAAAACCTTATCAGTACAGTAAGTTCATCGTCTTATGAGATACAAAAAGCGAAAAGAATAGAGAGAGAGAGATGACTAAAAAAGATGGAGATTGGAAGTGTTACATACTATTGCTCTAAACAATAAAATCTTGATTTACTAAACCAAAATGCTGATCCAGATTGAACAAGTATACTTACAAAATCGTAAAAATTCAGAAGTCAGAAACTTACTTGTCTCCAAGTGCCTGAAGTATAAGATATCTTGTAGGGATGTGATCGGATGGATATATTAAACCAGCAAAGTTGACAGCAACTAGACGACTTAGGGGGTCAGGCTAAAGAAGAGTAATCAAAAATTCAAATTAGTTCTTTTGTAGAATATTAATTTCATACTAGATATAGGAAATAAAAATCTAGCGGTTAAATGGAAAATAATTTGACTTGACCGCATATAAAATGGATGAGTTTTTGGAAATGTATATAGTAGTCCAGTTCCACGTTGTCGCTGACTGACTGTCTAATAAATATCTAAAACTAACTCTTTATAATTGCTACTATCTATGAAGGGAGATGATTCTATTTTAGTGAGAAGTAAGTACATGTTACGAAGAAAACTCGATGGTTGCAAGTCAGATAATGGTGACTGTCGTCGGCAGCTTTGTTTAGGTTGCAACCTGTTTTTGGCCAGCACCGACTTCTCACACAGTCTTCGCTAGTGTCCTAGCCATCCTACTGTCTTAGAAACTCAAGTTTAAACTGAGAGTGATCATACTGCGATCAGCTACCGAATGCATAAACGCGTACAGGACTTTCATTTCTTTTAAAGTACCTGTCGGGATTTTGATTACGGCCTGCTATCCCTACAACTTCAGTAGTGTGACACATTTTTAGAACCCTATGTTACGAGACTTATTCCATCAAAATAAACAGACTGCCCACAAGCAAACAGGAAATTCTTTGAAGACGATAGAATGATTTTTGATACTATCAAAGATACCACGATATCAAAAGAATATCCACAACTATTTGGATTATATAGGCTTTAAAAAGTATATCAAAAATCGAAAAAGTACCTTCTCAATATTTTCATAGAGAAGACGCTCCAATTTAACCAAGTGTCCTCGAATAGAAAGACAATTTTGTTTTTGCGCATTGTGTAAAGCAACTGCAAGCCTTCTCAAACAATGGGCTGCAGCAAGTTTCAGTTCAGCAGGATTCTCCTAAAGTTGAATTATGAGAACATTTCAAAAAACAAACTCGTAAACAGACTTAATTCACTAAACTCACGAGAAAAAAACCAAGAACCCTGATACAACTGAGGATGAGAATAGCTTACGCTGGTTTTCGAAATGTTTTCACGCAGTGACCAGCTGACCGTTTCAATCTAGAACTTCTACGAATGCTTTTACACGTAGACGGTGTTTATACTAAAATGAAAATATAGTGTGAAAAGTAGACATTTGAAGCTTAAGCTGTCATCTGAGAGGTCTGGAACACCTTAACCACAACGCAGTGCTGTAATTGAACTCCAAAACTCTAAATGGTTGGATGGCATACAAACCTATTTTGATCACCAACTATCATGAGACTTCATCTCTTAGCGATTTTCCAATATCAAGCGGCATCATTTAACGAAACCATTGACTGTTGATCGGAGCCGTACTGGGAGATGCAAACTACCTGATTGGGATTTACGCAATTACCACGATTGGCGGTTGGAGACTAAGTAATATGACTCAGAATTGTTCAACATGACGCAGATGTACTCACTACATCTTTCACTCGATTTCGGATCCTATTATTCTTTCTTAAATAGTTTTCCACTGCTTCTCGAACCTCTTTCTCAATGTTCAGTCTTCCGTATTATCAATGTTACCACGTGTTAGCGGGGCGTAGATTGGATCGAGGCATGATTTGTGTTGCCGCACGCTGATTGGCTAATTCTTAGCGATAGTCAATACGTGGAAAACATTCTAAAAGCTTCTCATGTAAAAACTATATAGATACTAACGCGTTCCTACTCTGCTTCGCTTTTTACTTTCATTTAACCTTGTTATTTAGAATGTAAACGCTGATTTGGGGACTAGTCCAGTGGACTGGTGTCCGAGAATACAAAGCAATAGGAATGGATGGGTTTACTGAGAGAGAATTATAACACCACGTTAATTTGATCTCTTGCCATTCATATTATTAGCCTCGTCATGTTATGGTAACGTGGTTTAGTAACATAGGCCGACACTTCTGTGCCAGGCTTCACGTTGGTGATCCGTGAATGACTGACAATATCAAAAAGACTTAATAAATTTAGCATTTGGGTAGATGACAGGAGGAATAATTAATGCACTGATTTGTTTGTGGATTTAGAAATGATTCATGATCAAATCAGTCAATCAGTCTCAACGAAGAACTTAGTACATATGTACAGCAGTTCATGTTTCCATAACACATCAACACAGAGGAGCAAATGTCAATTCAAATCCCATAGTGGTAGAGATAGTAAAAGTATTAATGGTAAGGGAGAAGATTAGGGTTCGAAAATATTATTCAAGAAGTATAATTTAGTGAGATAAGTTTAGAAAGTCAAAGGTAGAGGTGTTGACGAGTCCAGAAGATTAGCATTTGAGAGAACACAATGAATGAATGCACCTGTGCCATTCCAAACGACTTTGAGCCATATCGTTCAAGGTCTCTAACCATCCGTTACCATCGTCTCGCGGACCCCAGCCAGGTAGTAGACACCTAACCAACATGCCCCAGTCCACTTGTCAGTGACTTCATGGATTTCCGACATGTTTTGGTTTGGCTGCCCCTAAATTTCTTCTAACTTACTCCTACACCACAAAACATAGCTCGTCGAGGCAGTCGGTGGTTGGGCATACACATGTCCCAGCCACCTCAACTGATGAATTTTCAATACTTCATATCTGGTTTGCTATCCCTACCTAGTACTTGTTTGCAAATGACAGCATTGCTTACTCGGTGGTCCCACAATATATGAGCAACCATATATAATCTTCTCTGGGAGTTAGGTCTTCATTTAGAAGAGTTATGACGTCTCATGATGAAAGCCGAGTTCCTTTGGAAGTCATGAGGCCGAAGCCCCGCCTGAAAACAAAAACCCTTCCACGGTGTGGTCAGCCTGGAAGTAACATCCGCCACATACCTATAAAAGCAAACGAGACCAAATCGCTTACAAAACAAATCCTATCTACACCTCCGAATAACTCTCTTATCTTTGCGACTAACCATTCTCATGTTTCTTTATCTACTCGCGGCGCTGATGCAAACGATTCGAGTACGCGGAACGTCATTCTTGGTCTCCTGAAACCACACTCTAAACTCCATGTTGAAGTTTTTAATATGCGGACCTTATGCCGAATAGGACAACAGGCTTGCTTAGCTATGATCTAGAGTCTAGCGCCGTCAATGTACCTTACGTCTCCGAAACGCATATACAGGATCCTAGTAAAATCATTAATTTGATTTCACCTTGTCGAAATAATGAAGCAGCTCGATTTACTCTTCGTATATCTGGAAGCCCTGATGCTGCTTCACGGAGTCTCTCTGGCGTAGGTACAGCATTGATTTTCAATGCAGAAGCTCTCTTAGACTGGATCCCAGTAGACAGTCGTTTGTGCGTTATCCGACTGAAAGGGACAGTAAGGACTCGGAAAGACATGGACACTCACCGTTACCTATTTGTTGTCTCCGCCTACGCTCTCACTGACTGCAGCTCGGACGAGATTAAAGATGAATTTTACAGAAACCTTTCTGAATTTCTTCACAAAGTTAAGCGCTCTTATGAAGTAATAATAGCTGGTGACTTTAATGCTCACGTAAGTAGATTAAGTGAAAAGGAAAGAAACCTAAGTGGATCTTATGGTGTCGCGACCCAAAGAACAAATAATGGCAACCGTCTATTGCAAATATGCTCGGATAACTTTTTTTCTGGCGAATACCATTTTTAAACATAAGGAAAAACATCTTTCGATGAGGCGATTCCAAATGTCAACTCAACACTGGACACAACTACATCACATCGATAGAAGACTATAGCTCGTTCTGGGGCACATGTCTAGATTCACATCATGCTCTAGCGAGAGCGCGTATTTGTTTTCGTCTTACGAGCGTCGGAGAGACAGCGCAAGGAAACCTCATAAGGTTCTACTAATTAATAGCACAGCTAAGAAAACATTTCAGGAGCAACTGGAAAAACAGTTGGGCGGCCATGTAAGTGATTCCCATCCGGAGGCAGCTTAGAACGATATCAAAAAGGCTGTGGAAACAGTAGTGACACCTGTCAGTAAGGTAAACTATAAGGTTAGGGATAAGCTGTGGATCTCAGTAGCGTCCGCTGAACTGATAGATGCTCGAAAACTCACCTCACCAGGCTCTGAACATGACGAAGAGCGAAGTCAGCTTAAGCGTAAGCTGATAAGAGCCCCACGCAATGATTGCAAACAGTTGTGGATGGCGAAAGCGAAAGAGATGGAAAAGGTAGAGGCAATAGGTAACAGTAGACAACTATTCAGCCTTATCAAGGAAACCGGTATTAGAAATCCATCTGTTAACGAAACTATTTATTTCTTCTCATTATTAACATTTCATTTGTGGCGCAATCTTGGTGCCATGTTGTGCTAGGACTACGCTAAAATAAGTAGATTATTAGAAATCGGGAGAATAAATATGAAAAAGATTCTCACCTCAGATAAGACATCGAACAAACGAGGTAGCTGACCAGGATCTTTAAGCAAATAGTTTGGATCACGAGCCAAAAAGCGGGAAAGTATTTCGAATGCTCTTGCCCGTACATATGTTAACTGTAGAAAAAATGTTTATGATCAACAATGAAGTTATCAACTGATAAGTCATGAACATGATAAGACAAAATGGGGAAAGATACTCACCTCATCACTCGTACGTTCGTAAGCAAAGTTGATAAGACATCGAAGAGCAGCAATAGATGCTGATCCATTTAGAGTCGTAACACTAAAATGAAAACATTTTGACGCTATTCAAAATAATATTATCAATGAGAATAAATGCATTGTTGTTATAAACTTCGGAAATGTATATACAACCAATGAATTGATGCATGCCCTTAGGAAATGTAGATAGAAAGCTTAAACGGTCCTCATTGTTTTGCTTAACCTGTTTCTGAGTACATTTTACTATCGTTCTACGTAAATTAGTGTATGATTTCTAAGGGATAAGACATTATAATTAATATTGTACCCAAAAAATGGAAGCTAGCAATGTAAAAAATTAAACTGGCCGGCAAACGCTTGTCAAGAGTAGGTCTCATTAAAAATAAACATAAGCTTTCACCAAAAAGCAGGAATTAAAGTAGATTTTTCAACTATTAATTATTCCCATAGGAGCTATTTACTGATAAAGGATGATAAACAATCGATAAACGAAAACTCATAGTCTGACCTAAGTGTGCAGTAGTCTAAATTACATTCCATAAGAGCACAGTTAAAATAAGGGAATTTAAAAAGACCAGTAGTGGTGAAATTGGAACTTAAAGCAATAATCTATAACTTTTCAGACTGGTTTGATTGCTTTTTGTTCCGAGTTGGTAAAGATGGAATTGTAGCTTGGTGGCTCTTAAATTGACTGTATTCACTCTTATATGTGTAAAACGTTATCAATAAATGGAGGGTTTTGCAAAGCTTTAGTGTAATAATTTACAGATTACAATGGGATGCGCTCTGAATTCTGAAACTGACAGAGAGGTCTCGAGCTACCTTGGTTTTATACTCATTCTAGTAAATTATAGCTTTGGCGAATACGCAAGTCTTGGATAACTTTTTAAAGCTGAAATTAGCCTATCGTCCTTTGCTATTTTCTTGCACGTCCTGAGTTCACAAATGTTACAGTAAAAAAAGAGTTGTACACTAAATCTCTTCAAAAATTAGGCCTTTATTATCTTTCCACTTCAATCAAGTGAGGAAATGTTATTGTTGTTGCAGTAATTTGAGGACCAGTCGTCAAGATCTCTGGAATATGGACATGCAGTTTGAATTACGGAAAATTTTCCTGCAGTTTATAACTCAAAAAACAGTAGGATATCTCAAAACAGAAAAGATACTTTGAGTGACTAAGAAATAAGTGACCGAAAAAATCAAACATCATAAATATAAGCTATCTTTATACTTACTTATTGATGAGATGAGAAAGTAAATCTAGCCCATGCTCAGCTAAGCGGCGCTGCTGAATGACTGAAGTTGAAGAACAGGCAGGATTTGCAGATGTACTGGTAGGTAATGTTTCATCTGTCTGAGTTCTACTGGTACTTTGTGGATAAGTTCCAAAATCAGCATCTGGTGCAGAACCATTCTCAATTGGAGCATGAATGCAGTTAGTTGGACACTTCTGAACAGAATTTGGAAGCATACTCGACTGCACTGATGAACTTGGTTCAAGAGCTAGCATAGCAGCTTCCACCAAGCTAGAAGCTAGAGGGCCTGGAAATGTGATACGCGAACGCATGAGGTAATGCCCAAGTTTGATGCGCATATTGGGGCTGAGAGGACGACGAGGCTCATTACGTCCCTAAGATACGGGATAAACAAAAAAATTTTTATAGAAAAGAGAAATCAAGAAATCAGCAAAACTAAAATTATATAGTGAGCAAAAGCCGAGAATGAGGTAAATGTTCGCAATCTCTAAGAAAACGTTAGATAAAGAGAAATGTTTTCAAACGATGAAATTAAAATATCCTTTGAAATACACGACACTTCGAGATTTCAAAAACAGACACATTAAATAAACAAAATATTGTGAAATCTTGACACGGCTCGATGCAAACAATACTTCAGATCCGTTGGCCAGACACTACCAGCAAGAACTTACTGTGAGAGGAAACAAACCAGATTTCAGAGGAGGAAGAAATCAGGAAGGAGTGCTGGAAGTGGATAGAACACACATTGCAGAAAGCACCCAAACTACGTCACAAGACAAGCCCTCACTTGGAATCCTCAGAGTCAACGGAAAAGAGGAAGAACAAGGAACACACTACACAGAGAGTCGGAAAACAGACATCAAAAGAATGAGCAGCAATTGGGTAGAACTGAAAAGGCGTAGGACATAGTAGTTTGGTCGGCGGCCTATGCTCCACTAGGAGTGACAGGCGTAAGTAAGTAAGTAAGTAGGAAGGATTTGATTGTGACCAATTTGATCTCGTGTGTTGTTATGGGTATGAAGGCGGACGCCACTTCTCGGCTGCCCACACCGTGTGTGTCTCTTGAGGAACCTGAAAAGGAAATCAGATCAGCGTCGGTCTTAGCAACTTGACAGTTTTTCATTTGTATTTTTGCCTTAAATTGTATTCCGATTGCATTACAACAATTCTCCTATAGAAGAAACTTAATCTCTTCATTATGTAATTAGTTTCTGACGGATATAAAGGTAAACAGAAATCTTCAGTGTTTCCAAATGTGCGCTTTGTTTAATTTTGTTTTTCTAGGGATCCTCGTGTAAGAGCTGAAGCATGTGTTGCCTTCGAACAGTTTCTTGATCCGAATATTATTCACGACATCGTCTATGGACGCGTCAAACTACCATCTTTCGTTGAATTTGTGAATCATGTGAGTTGTATGTGAAATTACATAAATATTTGAATTAATCTGCGCATATGAACGTCGTTATTTGTAAAGATTATTAGTTGATGCATTACTTTCTTCCGCATAATACGCGATTTCACTGATCATTGAAGTACAGTCTTTTATTTGAACTGACCATGTCTAAACAGAGAACGAAGCTGAAGAGGCCGTCCACCTTGTCCTATGTAGTGTTTTTCGCAGTCTGAGCACTTTATTTTGTTTGTTTCGTTTACGTGAACACCAACTAGTAGTCAAACGCCACGATAATTCTTCGCTTATAACAATACACATGGACAATTATGGACACACATTCGATTGGAACAATGTGGAAATACTGGATTGCTTGGCACCCAGGCCAATGAGCAATCAACAAGCACATTGACCCAATTTATCAACGAATCAGAAAAATCATATGTGACATAAGAGCAAGAAACAGATCAAAAGGGGAATACAATCAACACAAAGGTGCAAACAACGACAGGTTTAGGGTCAACAGCTGATGATGTTGTTCAGAAGAACAATGAAAGCTTCACTACCAAAAAATCCAGCTCAGAGAACGAAACATCACCACAATCATGCACTTGAGCAACAAATTTTCTCCACCATCTCATAAGGATATTTGTTCAGTGTAGAAAACAGTTCATTTGATTTCTGACTTCGAAGAAAACAAGAATTGGTCCAAAAATGCTTTTCGGTGTGAAAAAGATTGTCAAAAGTTGGGTTGTCACATGGTAATTGATCCTTCTAGAGACCAGTTATTATTTAGGATAAATAGATGTAACAGTAAGCAAGATCTTAAACCTACCAACAATAATTGTTTCTACTTCAATGTTTGTTTGAAATACGTCGAAAATGTCAAATATCCTAGTTGGTTCCTTATGCCATGCTCACAAAATCCTAATAGCAAACATGGCAACAGTTACAGTTCAAAAACAGTAATGCGTTTAATTCAAGTATAACATCATCTTGAAAGAATTTATGGTTTATCAAGAGAGAGGGAGATTATTAAGTCAAAAATGCTTCTTCATTTTGGAAAGAAACAATTTTGTTCCTTGGTTTTCAGTTGCGCCTCATTTTTCTCCACTTTGCTACGAAGATTTCCAATCAGACACAAAACATAAGTTACCCATAATTCACATATTTCGAGCACACGGTAAGCAAAATACGTTACTACTTTATTTAGTGTGTAAGTTAGCCCAAAAAGTGTACCGTAAATTACACTATGAAATTGTTACGCCTACACGTAAACACGTCATTTTGATCATAAAATTGACCAATAGAAATTAAGCAATAGGAATTCACTTATAATTCTCTTAGGATATTGGATGAATATCCTGACAGAAATACAATTTAAAAGTAGCACGAATTAACGTATATGAGATAACCTAATTGATCCTCTACCCGTTAAGTAAAGAATTGTTTCAAGCAGTTTGTCTGATTAACTTAACTTAAGCTGAGCAAATTATCTCACTGACCAATGACCTAAAACGTTGAATTCCACATCGGTCGCCTACTAGGAGACTTGAATCGAGTTTAAATATTCAGATTATTTCTTTGATTCAATGAACTAGAATTAAATCACGAGAAATAGATCTACATATAGCACTTTTGGTAAAACTATGATATAATGACGGCCATGAGCGAACTAATTAGAAGTAAGATTGTGCCTCATGTATTTTATGCGCAATTTAAAATACAGCGATACATATCGGAGTGAAAATTGGCAAAATGCAGTCCTTAAAATGTTTAAAATTAATAGAAACTTGTGTTATGGAACCTCTCTGTTAGTGAATCGTATTTTGAAGCACTTGTTGTGATTCAATGAGTTGTCAAGTTTGTTTAGTGAAGCTTACGCCTAGGACCATACACTTTTTTCTAGTTTTCGATGATTACAATTACTCGGCAAGAATGGTTCTCAAGTGCTCCCCAACACTGCTATAATCCTTGTGACAAATACTCTGAGTAATCGGCGATGTCATTTCAAGTAATTTAGATTTGTATGTCTTCTACTAGGAACATTGTTTTTCGTACCAAGCTGATCGTGCCTACAAATATATATGCATATCGTAATAATATCCAGAATATAATAATAATAATAATAATAATAATAATATGTAATGGAATTCAACATAATGATTTGAGTGATTGAGATTTTTCCTAACTTACTTTGGGATCGAAATCTCGACGACGACCAAGATACCAAGCTAGGAGTCGATTTAATAGTGACTCATCCTCCCAATCTACAAGACTAATTTCGAAATAAAAACATTAATAAAAAGAAATTAAAATACGAAAATTTAGAATATTGGATTGATAAATTCATGTATGAGATCTGTTATTATAGTCACGAGATTCACAAAATGATTATCGCTTGTCTACAAACGAAGGAAATAGGAAAATTAGTGATTTTCTGGGGATGTGAAATATCCGAATAGGACTTAGAAGGAAGTAAACCGATATCGACTTGGGATGGATTGCCGGCAAAATAATTTATTCAATGTGAACTCTGCGCACGGACTTTCAACGTATCTTCCATATGTTAACTGATAACCATTCAGTTTCTAAGCTGTAACCATCTTGATCAGTATGTAACTGGTTATCTTAAATGTATTTTGCATTCTACTTGATTTGATCAACAGAGCATTTATGAAGCAGCCGGATCTAGAACTCTATCTAACAGAAAGAAAGAACGGAATGGATGACAACAATCTTGTTTACTATTATTCTAGTTGGAGTTGCGACACAATTACCAAAGACAAGTTAGATTTTAAGCAGGTAGATCTGAAATAAGGCATCTATTCATAAATAAACTGAAACTATTTTCGTCAGTCATGACCAAAACAGAATCGGATATGTACATGCATCAGCTACAGTTGCAGGTGGATTTTTGTGAATAGTGTCAAATAAGACAAACATAAAGTTGCACTATCAACAAATTCCTTTTGTAGGCGCATGTGATCATATGCACAAACAACTTGATCCTGACATCTCGTCTCTTGCGAAAACAGTAATCTAGTGTTCCCGCACTCGAAAAGAATTCCTCACATATACCCAGAACTCATTTGAACTATATCGGTGTAGTGATATCCAATCAAATTTTTTTACAAATGCCCTCTAACTTTGTGTCGGTCTTTTGGGCCCTAGCTGTATTAAATCTTGTCTTGAGGTTTCTTCGCCATGATACCTAGAAAGGTGAAATCATCACAGTGGAACAAATATGAATTATGAATATGACAAGTATGATTGTGCATTATAATCATTAAGCATTACTAAATGTCTTTTACATCCTATTGAGTAAAGTTTTCTTTAGAGGTGAAGCAGTTATGTCAAAATCACTTACATGCTTAATGTCCGGAGTTCTTTTGCTGCTATGGAGACCACTGAGTGGCGACTGTCTCCGTATCCAAAAAGAACTGGCATTATGCTTTCCTCCGCAGGGAAAAAGCGACGGGTGTAAAATGTCATGATACCCACTTTAAACTAAAAATTCGGAAAAACGTTTATGTTAACATGCCAGTTGTTTACGTAACTCAAAAGAGTATAGTTGAATATTTATCAAAAAATTAGTGTCTCGAAATCCCTGACGGTGTTGATGTATCTAAAGGGAACCTTTAATTTAATGGGATGTCAGTTGCAACATAGAACTTCGTATGTATGTATATAAGTTCAGGTTGCCATACCACATTGGCACAGAGGCAAATGTCAAATCAAATCCAATAGTGATAGAGATAGTAGAGGTACTATTGGTGATCAGGAAGACTAGGGTTTGAAGATTTTATTCAAGAAGCATAATTCAGTGAGATAAGGTTAGTAGACAAATGAAGAGGTGTTGATGAATCCAGAAGATTAGGATTTGAGAGGGCACAAAGAATGGATGAACTTGCGCCATTGCAAACGATTTTGAGCCATGTCGTTCAACGTCTCTAACCATTGGTGACTTTCGTTTCGCAGACCCCAGCCAGGTAGCCTACATCTACCAACATGACTCAGTCCACTTGTCAGTGACTTCATGGATTTGTGCCACGTTTTGGTTTGGCCGCCCCTAGCTTTCTTCCAACCTACTCCTACACCACAAAGCAAAGCTCGTCGAGGCAGTCGGTGGTTAGGCATTCGTAACACATGTCCCAACCACCCCAACTGATGAAGTTTCACCACTTCGCCTATTGATCTACCATCCTTACCTAGTACTCGTTTCCTAAAGACAGCGTTGCTCACTCGGTTGTCCCGCGATATACGAGCAATGCTTCTCGGACAAGGAAGCCTGTTGCCCTATTTGACACTGGAATCGTTTGCATTAGCAGTGCAGTGTGATAAGGGAATGTGAGAAGCGTTAGTCGTGGAGATAAGAGAGATATTACGGGCTGTAGGAAGGATTTGATTGTGACCGATTCGGCCTCGTGTGCCGTTACGGGTATGAGGGCGATTGTCACTTCCCGGTTGCCCACACCGTGGAAGAATTTAATGGGATGTGATACACGAGTTGGCTTAATGGTTATGAAAAGGGCTGAGAAAAACTGACTATGTTGGTACCTGTTACCCAAAAATGTTTATATTTATATGCCTTATATGCTTTTATTTTTTAACCATTTGTTACTTTATCGGTTTCGAGTTATTTCTTACCAGTGTTGCGACGAGTCATCACACAGTTTTAATGTTAACTAAGTTGAACATAATAAACAATGTGACATTAACAAAACCATTATGTTTGATTCAGTCAGTCAACTTAAAATGTAGTACGTATATACACTCTATTAGCTAGTTGGAACTACCAGGGCGAATCGGATAGTAAAGTTACTGCATTTCAGTTAATAAGGATAAATCAGGCATCTAAAAAACGATTCGAGAAAATGCACTAGTGGAAGAACGCTAAGTAATTTGGGTCTGCAGTGAGATAAAGATTGAATGAGCCTGAGTCATTAAAAATGATTCAGACGCATGCCAGTTTGATCAGTTCTACCTGAATCTGATCAGAAAATCAAAAAATTGATTTTATTAAAACAGGAGCAGTAAATGCTTAGTTATAAAGGTTTACCAACCAGTAAGTTGGCATGATTAAGCATTTAATTGAATGAAAATTATATTATTCACTATAATCTACATACTTCTATTTGGTCAAAATTTAGTAGCAAACGCTATCCTGACAAGTCATGTTTATCTGGTATTTTTTGACAAGAATTTTGCTGATAGCAAAGCTAACAAAATAAAGGTGTGGCAAATTTTGGAACATTTTCAAAATGTAATAAATTGGTCAACCAGACTTTTAACAGCCGGCGAGCTAATACAAATACCTACACAAAATATTACTCTAAAGTGTACGATTCGCATGTTGTTGAGCACAGAGATTTAGCGCATGAAACTAAAAAAGCTGAATGCATTCAAGTCTTGATAAGATTACGAGGACGAGAAAATTTACTGAGAGAGAATGAAGATAAAACAACAAAATAATTAACATGAACCGTAGGTGATAGACGACAGTTTAGTTGACAGTATAGATAAGACAACTTAGAATCCTAGCAGATCTCATACATATAAATGATGTTACAGATGATTACAGTGTGATCGCGTTTGATTTCTGTTCTGAGACGTATCTGATAGCGTCTAGAACCAGTGAGCTGTACTACTTTTTGGAAGGCACCCAGAGTGGCAACACACCAACAGATACAGTTCTAAACATGGCATCATGTTATGAACTGACCACTATTGTTATCAGTTTCAGAGTAAGCAAGCGATAAAGTACTTTGTACTTTGTCCAAGCAAAATACATTAACGCTGAATAAGTGAGGTTTGCACATCTTGAGTACGATCGTACATTAAAACGAGATCATACTCAAAAGTAAAACATTCCTTTAAGTAGAACTACAACATTACTATCGGCTTCCAATAGCGTCGGCTCCAGGATAGTACAGAGGGTGAGACTAAGCATGAATGCTGAGATTAGACAATCTTGTTTAACCTTACAGCACGAATGGAGATATGAAAAGTGGTGATTGTTCACCTTCATTTTGCTGGGGGTGCTTTAAGATGTTAATACAATTGCTTAGACAGTCAGCTACAACGATTGGGATAGAAAACATTTCGATTCTGTGTATCTAATTATCTGAAATCTCCAAAGTCTATTATCTTTGCAGAACACAATGGTACTGGAATACCGTCGATTACTTCTTCGTAATACAATCAACTTTCCAATTAAAAGCTATTGTTCTGCACTATTCAACTGATACAAACGACGTAAAAACATCATGGTTTGCCTCATATAGGACAACCGTACTTTAATTTCTTAGATGAGTCAAATACATTCTGATGAACAGCTGCGATTTTTCAAACAGCGGAAACCATGTACAATGTTGGTACCGATGATCATTAAATCCAATTACTTACCAGCTAAACTAGCATTCTTGAACAAAAACAGCAGTGGCTAGTCAACAGACATTCTAGCCAATGTTTTCGACGTAAAATTAATGCGTTGGATTAGAATAATACAGATAATCGAAATCTTAAGTTCGGATACTGATAATGTACAGCTAAACAAACATAATGCACTGAGAAGCCTAGGGTGAAAATAAACCGTAAATCGTTGCGTTTATTTTGTTCGAATGTGTGGAACTTGAGGATTTAGAGCAAAAACCTTACCTTTTCCAGGTCTTCAGCGGATGTTATGCAGGTAAACCGTTCGTGTAACACCCTACCCATATCGAATGAATTGAACCCGTCGGGGATAGCTGCATCACTTCTATCTGATCTAATAAGTTTCTGAAAACTTTATAACTGGTTAGAATGAGTTTGTTAACAAACTTATAAGGTAGAAGCATCACTAAGGAGAAAAAGTCTGAAATGTAGCGTCTTTGATAAAGAAGTTCGTTGAAACATAAGTCACGTGGGGCCAATTCATTAGTGAGACTATCGACAATAGGCAATATTAGATGAAGTAAACTATCGAAATTAGAAACATGAACTTCAACATACCCATCCCTTTGACAAATGGGTTTATCATCAGAAAGCGATGCAAACAATATTGGAAATAGCTTAATTTTCTGTCGAATAGGTAGACGTGGAAATCCTATTCTTATATACATATGAGAGAAATTAACCAAAAACACTGAGTTTGATGGATCATTGTAGCTTAATAACAATTCGTGTACAGGAACCTGAATATTAGGTCTGCATTTGAGTCTCCGAGTCACGTCTCCAAGAAGTTCCATGAGCTAAGAAAATAGACGTAAGATATTATGCCTACTTTTTTCCGATGATCTTCATACTTCGACAAATATTTCAAGATAAAAACCAATGATTTTTGGAGAATTTTTTCGAACTGTTCATCAATATCAGCAAGACTTATTCGTAGAGCTAACCGGTCGATGTCATCCCCTAAAATCCGAAAATCAACGTACACTATAACCCGAGACTACCTGGTTTTGACAACCCATCTCTAACAGCGGCCATGTCGCGCAGACTTGACCTTGACGCAGTCGTATTAGGCTCTTTAAAATCGACAGATATTGCTCCGAAATTGAGCATGTAATAGAAAATGTTTCCACTTTACGGACCTCCTTATCTAGTGGCAATGGACCACCGGTGCCTCCAGGTGAGAGAACATAGGTATTTTCAACTAACAAAAGAGAAGTGTTGGCCAAATTACAATGACATGTCTCTAGTCATTAGGAAAATATCGAGTTTCATCTTGAAGGACTCCGTTGAAGTCACTTTTATTACCTCAGTTAGTGAAAAATATCAGTATATAACTCCCTATAAAGATAAGATGTACCTGCAGTGCATTTCGCTAAGTCGGGCCTCTAGTTTCTGAGAATTTCCCCTAAAGTGTGTGTTAAAACCGAGCTCAGGTAGGTATTTTACAGGATATCTCATTCTTTTCCAAAGTTCAGACCCAAGAATGTTAGTGATGGAAGCGATGATCGAGATATAACACCTAGTAGGATCTTCATTATTTGAAGAACCGAAGCATGCGTTGATTTATCTTCTGAACTATTTATTAGGTGTAGCAATGTGATTCCACTGATTTTATGTTCTAACAGAAGAAAGCCTCCACGAATTCAAGTGTACCTTCGTGTTCTTCTGGGAACAAATTCATTCCAAGATTTAGTTGGGCATCAAATATATTTATAATCCATTGCTACTGAAATTATTGTGTTCTGTACGAGGCAAAATATCTGTATTTCCCACAAATATTTAGTAAGCTTTTGGGCTTAGCATTTCGAAGTAATGCAAAAAACGTCCCTGAAGTTCTGTGTTTAATAATGGTGATGATACATTTTGTAAAATTATCATTTATATGGGACATTATTAAGTAAGAACCTTCCCTCAGGAAATGTAGATTCTGTTTGTTCATCTCTTTGATAATTGCCTTTTCCATGTGAGTATCGGATTCGCACCTTCAAACTTATGACGTGTTTTTTTTATTACGTTTAAGTTTCAGTCGCAATAAAATCAGCCAATAAACCAAAGTCTCTTTAGAAATAAAATCATCGAAGTTGTCCACATCAGAATGGATGATACACAGCTTCAACCTCGTTGAAATAGAGTGATGGTCCCAGTGCATCTTCCCTCAATGCATCATACGAGTTTGTAGTCGATTTAATTTATGCACATTGTGATGGTCGAAGAATATATGTTGACATTTTTGCGAGGGTTATGAATAATTTTGATAAACTTGCTTTCAGCGTTCACATTGTGAAGGCTTCAATTGTGAATCGAAATTGGGGGGCACTTAAATGATGATGAGTATCGTATGTTTCCAAAATCAGATTTAACTCCATAAATAAAGAAAAAATTGCTCAGAATGATAAATCTTTTTTGTGGTACTTATGTAAATTTCGGATAGAAGCTTTTTATTTTGTCGTTATTACTAATTTCAGAACTATTCCGACATCTAATCTATAATGAATCGGCAGTCGGAATACTCGTTTTTGAAATTCCATTCATGTTGATTTTTTAAGCTCCTTTTCGATTATTTTATATCACTTGGTTTTCTTGCATCTAACTATGCATGATTTTCCTCTTTTCTTGTATTAACCGTCTTTTCTATACGTCCGTATTCTGTTTTAATGTCGAAATCACATTATCAGCTTCAGAGACTGGAAAATTCGTGTATCTTACAACAAAGATCTCATTTTGTCGAATGAAATTTTATAAAATTCAGAAGTTAACCTACATAGGTCAGGCTTTGAAGTACAAATGAATCTTTAAAACTCGAACTCCATAAAGTAACATTAGTATTTAATCAGCAAACTAAATGCTGTGTTAGTTGTTGTTAGGCTGCAGTACAGAACTCTGTTGAGATTTGAACACTACATGTGTAGTCATTCGGTAACTAGGTGGTTGCTCATCCACTAAACTAACTTTGGCTGAGACCATAACTGCGGACCATCCTGTGGACACAGCTCAGGTGAATGAATGTGGTGGTGCATCGTTCACTGAGCCGGATGTTTAGGTTGTGGAGATTTCATTGTTCTTCTGAAGAACATCATCAACACAAACTTCTGTCAGAATCGATGTATTCGAATTTCACCATGGTTGACCCGTAGATTGTTCGGTTAACCTCGATCATGATTGGTTACTGTCGCCCTTAAATCTGTCGTTGTTAGCATTTCTGTTTTGATTGTATCCCATTTGATCCGTTTGTTGGTCCTATGTGGCCTATGATTATTCAGATTGGTTGTGTTATAATTCTATATTACAACCCAGATATTTCTAATGCTAAGTATTTTCGGGACATCAATTCACTCGAGACGTTCTCCCAATCGGAACACGGTTGAGCAGGAAATAGATTATATTTCAATAACAAGGTTAGATATTAGTATATTTATAGTTTCTTACACGAGAAGGTTCCAGAATGTTCCCTCAGTATCGGCTAGCGCTTATTGGATGCAAAAGAGCGAATCAGCGTAATCATGCTTTAATCCTATCTATGTCCCACTAATATGATGATCATTTGGGTCACTGCCGATGTGTTTGTTGATTGCTGATTGACCTGAGTGCCAAGCTTCCAAAAATTCTCTAGTGTTCTTTATCCTCCCCCTATTCAATTTTTCTACATTGTTCCAATCGAATGTATGTCCATAATTGTCCGTGTGTATTGATGCAAGCGAAGAAGTGTTTTGGCGTTTGACTTCTAATTGGTGTTCACGTAAGGGAAGCTGAACAGGCCGTTTACTTTTTCCTATGTAGTTTTTTTCACATTCTTAGTAATTTAATTTGTAGATGTTATTTGGTTTTTCTTCTTTTGTTATTTTGTCGTTTGGTCTACATAGGATTGATTGAATTGATTCTGTTGGTTTGTGTGCGACACCTATTCCAAATGGTTTCAGCAGTCGTGCTGTGTTCCGATATGTCTTTTATGTATGGTAGGATGATCCATTAATTGGTTTCTGTACTTGATTTCGGTTCTGTTGACTGGTTTGGTTGATGTTTTTTGAAAAATACGGCTATCCACGCAACTTCATCAAAAAACATCAACCAAAACCTTCAACAGAACCGAAATCAATCTTCCCTGGTTCTGAGTTTCTTTATGGTTTTTCGTTGTTGTGCTGTTAGTTGGTTGTTGTCTATCTTCCGTTCAGTTAGTAGTAATATGGTTAGCCTTATTTATTGTTGATTGATTCTCTTATTCCAGTCGTTTACAACGATGACTCTAGTGCAGCGAAGAATTCGAGTTTCGAAGCGTGTTGTAGTTTAATCCTTTTTGGAGTTGTTCTTCTGTCATTGTTAGGTGTTGTTTCAAAAGTTTGACCTCACAATTGGTTGAGTTTTTTTCTGCGTGTGGCCTTGAAATCTTGATTAATTTATCTTTGAGAATGCTTCTTCTTTGTTCACTGTGTCGTCTGCTTGACCTTTCGATCGCCGTTGTCAATGTTGTTAAGTGTTCTCGCAAGTTTTCTTTTTTGTTCATCCGTGTTGTGCTGGTATTGATGATCCTGGTTCAACCAGAGAAATCATGGGCCACATCGGACCAACAAACGGATCAAATGGGATACAATCAAAACAGAAATGCTAACAACGACAGATTTAAGGGCGACAGTAACCAATCATGATCGAGGTTAACCGAACAATCTACGGGTCAACCATGGTGAAATTCGAATACATCGATTCTGACAGAAGTTTGTGTTGATGATGTTCTTCAGAAGAACAATGAAATCTCCACAACCTAAACACCCGGCTCAGATCCACTAGCTAGTCTTTATCTATTAATTTTATGACTCGTTTCCCACTTGTCACTAAAGTTTCCCGATTGGAGGTTGATAGACACTCAATTTACATCGGTCTCACGATTTGTTTGGTAAGATTACGAAAATTGTTTGAAATAATCTACTCTTTCCCACTGGTTGATCACTAGACATATTTACGTTCTCCCTCTTATTTTAGTCATCGATCCTTCATATATGATGGCCGATCTGTGAATATTTTTGTCCATCATCCCTTAATAATAAAGCACAACTTCATCTTATCAGGTCTCATCAGTAAGATCGAATATGTTATTCGTGAGATATTCTCTGTGAAAATGTGTATCACATACTTACTTACTTACGCCAGTTACCCCCAACGGAGCATAGGCAGCCCACCAGTTTTCGCCAACCAACTCTGTCCTGGGATTCCCTCTCCAGTTCTGTTCAATGTTTGTTCATTCCTCTCATATCTTTCTCTATTTCTCGGCGTAGTGTGTTCCTTGGCCTTCCTCTTTTCCTTTTGCCTTGAGGGTTCCATGTGAGGGCTTGTCTCTTGACGCAGTTCGATGCTTTTCGTAGTGTGTGTCCTATCCACTTCCACCGCTTCTTCCCGATTTCCTCCTCCACTGGAATCTGACTTGTTCTCTCCGACAGTTCGTTGTTGCTGATCGTGTCTGGCCAAGGAATCCGAATTATTTTGCGTAGACAACTGTTAATAAACACTTGTATCTTCTGGATGATGGCTTTCGTAGTTCGCAAAGATTCCGCTCCATACAGTAGAACTGTCTTCACATTCGTATTGAAAATCCTGATTTTGGTTTTGTTTGAAAGTTGTTTGGAGTTCCAGATATTTTTCAACTGTAGAAATGCAGGCCTTGCTTTGCCGATCCGCACCCTCACATCTGCATCGGATCCACCTTGATTGTCGATGATGCTGCGCAGATATGTAAAGGTGTTAACGTCCTCCAAGGAATCTCCATCAAGAGTGATTTGATTGGTGCATGTTGTGTTGCATCGGTGAATTTCGCTTTTTCCTTTATGTATGTTGAGACCTATTGCTGCAGATGCTGCTGCTACACTGGTCGTCTTCTCTTGCATTTGTTGTCGCGTGTGAGATAGAAGAGCCAGGTCATCTGCGAAGTCCAGATCGTCCAGCTGCGTCCTGACTGCCCATTTGATACCGTGCTTCCCTTCAGATATAGACGTCTACATAGTCGAGTCGATCACCAGGAGAAAGAGAAAGGGTGAGGGTAAGCAACCTTGCCTGACACTGATCTTCACCTCGAACGAGTCTGTTAGCTGTCC